CTGCAATATTTGAGACAAACGACATTTAAAATGATTCAAAATATTGTTATATCCTTTATAAAGGACAAATAAGCCCTTTTCATTCGTTTTAAACCATAACAGGCATATCTTTTATTCAGTGGGTTATTCGACTGACTGTTGATGGTCGAGTAATTTGTTACGACAACATTGCAACAATGCAACACAGATGTCTTGGTGACGAAAAACATCGTTATATTAATACAGAGACAACATTTCTATGGTGCAGTCTTCCGTAACAATAAGTAATAGAATTGAGAATAGAAACGGGGAATGTGTCAAAGAGACAACAACCCAACCAGAGCCCAAGGCCACCAACGCAGGTAGAAAATGCCGCACCCAGAGGTGGGCTTCGGCTGGCCCTAAACAATAATGTATACTAGTTCAGTGGTATATTTCGGCAAAATGGAGCAAAAGATAAACATAGTTAAAAAATAAGTGCAATAAATATCTCATTCATACGTATATTGCACCTATATTGATAAATGCATGTTTTAACAGATGTTGCAAGACATATAATTCAGTGTGGTTATCGGAATAGGCAAAATATTGACTTTTACCGTAATCGCAGAAGAGATACTTTTCTTCTGTTCTTAACTCGTCAGTTTTTCCACTTAATAGATCATGGGTATTGATGTATTAATAACCTATTTTATAATAAGATTTTATTTCAATCTGCCCCACTGTAAATATCAAGAATACATTCGGAATTTACAGATTCATGTTCCAGATGGGTACTCAATTACCTTAAATCACAGCTCAAGGCGATAATAATTTGATAAAATGACAGTGTTATTGGTAATCTTAATACTGAGCAACAGAAACCTCACCAACTCAAATGTGTCGTAAGGGTAAACAGATCCTGCCCCACATGTGGTTTACGTCGTCTTGCGTATTGCATATGCAAATTTGGTGAAAAGTCTAATTTAATGATATCACAATCACAGAAAAGAGGACGGAATTGTTGCATCGATCCTTGGCAATCTGTGACACACATAATCCATAACGGTCAACTAAATCAAAATGACGTCGTACACGAGTTGCATGTCTCACTTATAAATATGATATGTACATCGACATGATTTCTAAATCAGGAAATAGTTTGGGTTTTCAGTAGTTGTTATCATTTTAATACGATATTTTCTTATATAAAAATTAGGAGATGTGGTATGATTGCCAATGAGACAACTATCCACCAAAGTTCAAATAAAGTGGATGTAAGCAATTATAGGCAACCGTACGGCCTTCAACAATGAGAAAAACCCATATCGTATAGTTGGCTATAAAAGGCCCCGATATGAAAAATATGAAACAATTCAATTGAGAAAACTAACGGCCTAATTCATAACAAAACAATTTACGAAAAACAAATATGACAGACATGAACCAACGACAACCACTGAACTACAGGCTCCTGACTTGGGACAGTCACATAAAGAATGTGACGGGGTTAAACATTTTTGTGAGCGCTCAACCCTCCCCTAACCTGGGACAGTGATGTTACAGCACAACATAAGAACAAACTATCAAGATCAGTTGAAAAAGGCTTAACTCATCAGACCGATATAAAGAAAAACACCAAACAAAAACACAGACAGGACGTGGCAGGGTATATATCCATCCCTCATCCCTAACAACAACAAAAAAAAAAGCTTGTTTATGAACAAAAGACAGTATCCAGATCAAAATTTTGAAAATATTTATTGTTATTTTTCCGTATTTTACTGATAAATGGACTTGGTTATTTCAAAGCTGAAAATAGCATGTTTAGTATAACCCGTGTTATTGTTGTCCATAAATTTAGTTTTAAAGAATTTAGAGATTTTTCAGGGCTGACTTTTATTGTTCGTTCTATGTACTTTATGTTTTAATTAGTCCACTTATAGAAATTAAAAGGTGAGCGTCGAATACTCAACAAACTAAGTTAACCCCACAATATGGTCACGTCTCTGTTCCCAGGAAGGAGCCTCTTGAGTGATTATACTTTGTTTCATGTATTTGTCTTTTCCATTTTGATGTTGACGGTAGGCTTTGAGAGTTCGTGTTCAATTGATTTGTAAATTTTCTAGGCTTAGGGTTATTTAGAGCTTAATTTACAGATTGTATTGTCTATTGTTGATTGATTGATTGTTGCTTGTTTAACGTCCAATGACAAATGTTGTAAGCACATTCCAGACGAGAACAAATGGATAATTATGGGTAGGTTCTGCAAGATAGGTATACCGGGATAAAAGGTGGAAATTTGGACTGCACTGGAAAATAAGGATATGTTGGACAGGTGTACAAATTTTGCTTTGCAACACCACCTACGGACCACTCAAGAGGACGAGTTCTTAAACGTGCAGAGAGTATGTCCCCATTTCGACTGGACGTGACTGTGTATATGTACATCCCGCTCAGCCAAACGAGATGTGTATTTTTGACAGGGTCCGTTATGCATTGCTATGTTTCCGTGGCAGGGTTTTGGTTTAGTTTGATAATTTTTGTTAATTATTTTAATGTGTTTTCAGTTTTTGATTCTCAAATAGATAGATATTGAGAATCATTTCGGAGACATTATTTGTCTGTTAGAAAATGATATACTATTGAAAAAGTAGCGACTATATAGACCTCGACTATTACTCTCCATGTGGAATTACGAATTACTGGGTATAACCATATATCAATAATCAATCGCCAACAGCCCTCCTCTTTTCTCTCACGGGGATCCGCAAATCAAAATGCAAAACATAACGCACATCCACGACTAAACTCCTAGTACGGATTTCCCTGAGAAGTTTTAATAAATATGTTGGACTCTGAACCGCGATGGTACTCCGAACAGCAGTGCAACGGTTGGACGCTGACGTGCTAAGGCGTTTTGGCGCTATCTTGTTGATAGCTACACTGAAGTGCGTGGTGGTAACGCTGAAGTGCGATGGCCTACATAAACTATATTTGCAATGACTTTTATGTCGATGAAGAAGCCAACTTGTTTTGACTCAGTTTTTCGGATTTTTAAGTTAATGAAGAGCTCATAAACTTTTAATACTATGGGAAACGGGGAGTGGTTGTTAGAGAGGGGAAAGCGTATTTGTTTTTCGAAATCTACAAAAGGTTCTGTTTTTACGTACAATGGAGCGTGGCAATCTCTAGATACACACGGGTCCGCAGACAGACTCTTCGTATTATAAATATTACAATATTACGGTAAACGAGGAACTCATGAAAGGAACAAAGTAAAGATAAAATGATAACGCAACATTATGTTCACATGCAGAAAATCAAAGAGGACGATCTCTCACATAGCATGCAACTGTATGACATACATTGATAACAACGAACGCAAATTTATCTACTAACTTTAAAAAAAAATCTACTTCTCATAACAATTGCAGATTTTAACTAGCCATCACGCGTCATGCAGACAAATACACCAGCGAACGGACCATCGCACTTCGGCGCAGACAATCGCACTTCAGCGCCCTAGCTTACACCCGAGTCCTACATATATATGACGGATTCCATTTACAAGTAACTTGAAATATTGATATTACAATCCTTGAAATAATAGTAATTTAATCAGAAAAAAGTCGAATGTTTATTTGCTTTTGTTTTTATATTTTGATGGTCTGATTAAAGGGTGGATCAACAAAAATACCATTCAAAGTAAGATTAAGACATGCTTTTCCTGATATTTTATTGTACATGTTCGTTCATTCGTGTACTTTTTAGCTTACCTGACAGAAAGGTTCAGTGTGAATTTGCCATCACTTGGCGTCTGTCGTCATCGTCTGTTAACTTTTACAAAAATCTTCCTCCCTGACTACTGGGCCAAATGGAACCAGAATCATCCTTAGTGTATCTACACATGTAGTTAAAAGATGTCTCCGATGATGCCGCTACTAACCAATATGGCCGCCAATAATAAAATAATATATAGGAGAGTCTCCGAGTAAAAACGAAGTTTTGACTTTTGTCTTGTAAACTTCTTTCGATAGAGAAAATCTGTCAAGGTCAGAAAGACGAGATCTACCTGTCTTCCATTTTTAAAAAGTAAGATATTCCCTATCGGAGTTTTTGTCCTTAAACGACGATTATTACCAATTTTTGCGATTTTGGCTATTATCTTGAAAATCATAATTGATAAAGTGAAACTGAAAATGGCACACATTACCATCTGGACGAGATCTGTATGCGAATAAAGCAATAAAGCAAATGACCGAAATCATCAGTCGATTCCGTCTGGAAATTATTGCCCTTGAAAACCGATTTTTACTCATTTTTGTGTTTTGCGGAAGCTATAATAGATAGAGGAAAGGATCTACAAATAAGTTAACATAGCCGATAAGGAGAAACTGAAAATGACAATAATGATCCGTAGGACAAGATCTACAAATAATAAAACATGGCTGAGTTGTATGCTACTGATCGATTTTAAAAGGAGAGGGTTGAGATAGATCTAAAAAAGAAAGGTTCGACATAGAAATATTGTCCAGATGTATTTCTTCCGTCCAACAGTAAAACCCACGCTAAAAAGGATAACTGTTTGGCTAATGCGGGATGTATAAATAAGCAGCAACGTCCGGCCGGAATCGGAACGTCATATTCGATGCTTCAAGCAAGAGAGTACCAACGGCTTTGTATGGTTAAGAACACATAATTGAAACAACCCTGAAGCGTCCATAGGGGGCATGTATGCTCTATCCAATATACTCTCTTTGGACACTGGCAGTCTACATTTTCTGTCCTTCTTCCTTGTCAATAAACTTTGTCGATTCTGACTATTGGCATACTTGTTAATTTATTCTCGTCCTTACTTTGCTTGAAATATTTGGCACCGGATTAAAGCAAACAACATCAAAATACAAAGAAGATTTTATCTTTTCCCCTAACAAAACCTTCATAACAATTACAAATGAGAATATGAATATGTAACTTAAGCTCAATGGAAAATGAAATGACAATAATGAATTTTAAAAAATTCAAAACCTATGCTGGTATGCGATAATAGAAAAAATATTTTGTCGAAAATATTATTTTTTATTTTTAAATTTGCTTAGAAACTTATTCTGTACAGGCTTTTTGTCTTCTTCTTCATAATCGTCATCATCGTCATCATATTCGTCGTCCTCTGGTACAACATTATTGTCACGTGCATACATATTACCATTCGTCGTTCGCCTACCCTGGAGTCCAGAAATCATAGAGTTTTGTCTGTTTCTGTCGTTAATGTATGCATTCCATTCTCCAAGTCCTTTCCGAAAGTTAGGTGTTATTTCATATGTTCTCGTTTTCTTCGTTGCTATAATAGATAAACATGCATGCACAATATATACATTTTGTATCTCAAAGAAATGTACAATTCATATAAAAGAATTATAACAAAAGACGAAAAATTAGAAAAAGATACTTAGCATTTGTAACTGCATATAATGACACCTTATTCGATACATTATCGGTTTATAAAAATTATAGTCCTCTGCTTGGCAGTATAAGACGTTTTTTTTTTGTTTCATCAATCTTCCAACAGAAATAATCTGTGTATTTGATTTTTTTTTCAATCAATTATACTATCGAAAAATTTCCTTATTGTCAAAGAGTATATGGCATATCTCTAACCTATTTCAAAAGTTAGGCAAAAATTCATACTAATTTTGTCTTTTTATTTTTGGCCATGGCGTTGTCAGTTTGTTTTCGATCTATGAGTTTGAATGTCCCTCTGGTATCTTTCGCCCCTCTTTGTACTTATTGACATATTATTGATAGTTAACACATTTTATAGTATGTTGTATGATTAACAGAACTAACAGTAATATTTAGCGGAACTGGTAATAATATTCAACATAACTGGCAGTAATATTCAACGGAACTTACAGCAGAATTCAACAGCAACAGGACTGACAGTAGTATTCAATACAAATTACAACTATATTCAACGGAACTAACAGTAATATTCAACAGAGCTGATAGTAATATTTATCAGAACTGACAGTAAAATTCAAAGGATTTGATAATACAGATATGAAACTAGAGGCTCTAAAGAGCCTGTGTCTCTCACGTTGGTCTATGTGCATATTCAACAAAGGACACTCTCCAACATTGTAGATGAGAATAGAATTCATGGCAAAAATCTCTGTTTCGTTGATCTTGTATTGCTGATAATTTATTCTGTTCAGTTTCTATCTATCTTCCTTAGTTTTTGCTCAAAACACAAAAGAAGGTAAACTAGAGGCTCTAAAGAGTCTGTGTCGCTCACCTTGGTCTATGTGCATGTTAAACAAAGGACACAGATGGATTGATGACAAAATTGTGTTTTGGTGATGGTGATGTGTTTGAAGATCTTACTTTACTAAACATTCTTGCTGCTTACAATTATCTCCATCTATAATGAACTTGGCCCAGTAGTTACAGTGGAATATATTTTGTAAAAATTTACAAAAATTTACAACATTTATGAAAATTGTAAAAAAATGACTATAAAGGGCAATAACTCCTTAAGGGGTCAATTGACAATTTTGATCATGTTGACTTATTTGTAGATCTTACTATGCTGTACATTATTGCTGTTTACAGTTTATCTCTATCTATAATAATATTCAAGATAATAACCAAAAGCTGCAATATTTTCTTAAAATTACCAATTCAGGGGCAGCAACCCAACAACGTGTTGTCTGATTGGTCTGAAAATTTCAGGGCAGATAGATCTTGACCTAATGAACAATTTTATTCTGTCAGATTTGCTCTAAATGCTTTGGTTTCAGAGATATGAGCCAAAAACTGCATTTTACCCTATGTACTATTTTTAAGCCATGTCGGCCATCTTGGTTCGCGGGCGGTGTCATCGGACACATTTTTTAAACTAGATACCCTAATGATGGTTGTGGACAAGTTTGATTAAATTTATCTTAGTAGTTTCAGAGGAGAAGATTTTTGTAAAAGATTACAAAAATTTACGAAAAATGGTTAAAAATTGACTATAAAGGGCAATAACTCCTTAAGGGGTCAACTGACCATTTTGGTCATGACGACTTATTTGTAGATCTTACTTTGCTGAACATTATTGCTGTTTACAGTTTATCTCTATCTATAATAATATTCAAGATAATAACCAAAAACGGCAAAATTTCCTTAAAATTACCAATTCAGGGGCAGCAACCCAGTAACGTGTTGTCTGATTGGTCTGAAAATTTCAGGGCAGATAGATCTTGACCTGATAAACAATTTAACCCCATGTCAGATTTGCTCTAAATGCTTTGGTTTCAGAGATATAAGCCAAAATCTACATTTTACCCCTATGGTCTATTTTTAGCCATGGCGGCCATCTTGGTTGGTTGGCCGGGTCACCGGACACATTTTTTAAACTAGATACCCCAATGATGATTGTGGCCAAGTTTTGTTTAATTTGGTCCAGTAGTTTCAGAGGAGAAGATTTTTGTAAAAGTTAACGACGACGGGCGACGACGGACGACGACGACGAACGACGGACGCCAAGTGATGAGAAAAGCTCATTTGGCCCTTTTGGCCAGGTGAGCTAAAAATATCCTCATTTAGGGGCAATCACTCCTATAAAGAGTGACAGTCTACTAACTATATCAGCAAAATTTGACTTGTTAGTAGATCTTGACTTGTTGATCATTTTTTTTATTTAAAGTGTCTATTTATCTATTATTATTTTTATCATATAAGGCAAAACGCAAAAATAGTGAAAATGCTATTAAAGGGCAATAACTCCAATAAGGAGTCGGCGGACGATTTCCTCCATATATTCTTTATGTAGATCTTGTCTTGCTGATCATTTTTTGCTTATTTAAATTTCAATCTATCTATTACAACAATATAAAAGGCAAAAATGAAAAAAAAAAAGGTAAAATTTGTCATTTAAGGGCAATAACTCCTGTAAGAAGTCGTCGGACAGTTTTGACGTATACGGACAATTGGTAGAGCTCAACATTCTGAACATTTTTGCCCTCGTCAAATTTTCTATTTTTATAACGATTTTCAATATAATAGACAAAAATTGCATTTTATCCCTATGTTCTATTTTTAGCCATGTCGACCATCTTGGTTGGCAGGCGGTGTCATCGGACACATTGTTTAAACTAGATATCCCATTGATGATTGTGGTCAAGTTTGGTTCAATTTGGCCCAGTAGTTTCACATGAGAAGATTTTTGTAAAAGTTAACAGACGACGACGGACGCCGGACGACGGACGATGGACGCCAAGTGATGAGAAAAGCTCACTTGGCCCTGTGGGCCATGTGAGCTAATAAGGGATACACTAATACAAGCCGCTTTCAAGTTGCAAACTAGAGTTGTATGTAACATAAGTATTTGTAATTCATAATCTTAAAATAATAGTATGAATGTGTTATACCTTCTAGGTTAGGCTGGATATTTATAATCTCTGCAGGCATATTTTCCTTATGAATGATCCATGCTGTTAAGTTTTCTGACCAAGTGTGCTTTAAAGAGGGGGAGGGTAGCTCGGTAAAAATGCAGTAAAACTAATTTTGGAGCCTAAATTTATTGGGCAATAATTTCCAATACACTGATAGAAATATCTAGTAGATGTACTAGCTTACTATAGTAAAGGAGAAATTTTAACGAATACATTTAGAGTCTTTCTAGTTGAAATTACTAGTCTTTTTAGTTTATTTACTAGCTCTTCTAGTAATTTTATTTTCTGCTTAGTAAGTTTCACTAGAATGGTTAGTTATCCATTGGACAGTTAGTTTACTTATTTGCCTAGTAAATTTTACTAGGAATTGCTTTGAGTGTATATATCTGGTCTGGTTAATATCATAATACAACTGTTTTGTAATAATTTTATAAAACATGTCACTTAAATGCTATTTGTAATAATCATTTGAGTCACTAAAAGTAATTCATACTTTTTGGAACCAAATTTCGAAAATAAAGCTAAGAACTGTGAGAAGGGACCCTCTTTCAGTAGTTTAACATGCTTTGGCTATAAAATCAAAAATCAAAAAAATTTCCAGTACTCCAAAATGCTATCTCAGCAGAAAAGAAATACCTCTGAGATCTAATAGTAAAAGCAAACGCGTTCCTTTTGTGCTGTTTTAAATTCCGCACGGTGTTACCATTAAACAACATTCTTCTTTTGCATAGGAAGATAAGGAAACAGCCGTTCCAGTAACAGTTGTATAACATCATGAACATTCGGGTTTACGTTTAATTATGGAAACATTTAGTCAGGTTTATGAAACAAAGATCTAGAGTTAAAGGTTAAAAAGGAACTAGTTTAGATAGCGGATGGGTGTGACAAAACATAATTATATTGAATAGCTTATTAAAAATTTTACTCGGATCTCCAAAGTTTAATAGTAGTTGGCATCTTAAGGGATCACACTTTTTAGATTGAATATCGTGTTAATTTTATTCTCTGTATTCTATTCATAGTAATAGAAGCCATGTTGACTAGTTGGTGAAATACATATGATGTAATTTTGAAACGAAACATTCTAAGGATATCCGATGATCCTGGTCAAGTTATGTCTTATAGTTCCAATGGGTTATACCGTTGAGAAAAGTGTGTTTTTTTTAATTAATGGACGACAGATCGAAAGACAACATATACAAGAAGAGACTGGTATGGATGGAAGCCAAAAAATGGCATTATATCATATATTCAATACCCTTTTCCAATAAGCGATACAAAAAGATACTCGAAGCCAAAAAATTTAAATAAACCAGATTAATAAATTAAGTCTAGAAAACAATATTCTTATAAAAGACTTATCAACTCACCTGTATCATAATAATGACCTTTAAACCTTCTAGGTGACGAATCATAACCTTTCATCGGTCGTTTATTTCGTCGTTTTTGAGTTTCATCATAATTGTAATTATCCTCATCGTTTTCGTCACTTATTTCATCTACTTCTGATGTATTACTTTTATATGTGCGTGTCTTTTTCTGACGACTCAGGAAAGGGCTTTCTGGTAACGGTGGTAGCGAGTGTGCCACAGATCTGGCAGATAAACGCTCACGTGATGGTGGAGGAGGAGGGGAGTATCCTATACGTGGAAGGGTTATAGGCATTCCTTTCATAAGTGGTCTAGATTCCGGTTTCTTTTGTTCTTCATCTTGTTCCATAAAATCTAACAGTCCTGCGAAAGGAGTTTCTTTGTCTTGTTTCTCTTTCATAGGCTTACCTTTTGGCTTTTGGCTCTTTTTGGACACACTTTCTCGCTTTTCTTTTGAAATTTGATTCGTTTTCCTGTCACTTTGCCGAGTATCTTTATGATCCGGTTCACTGTACTCGTCGTCGTAATCCGTATCAGGATCCAGGTTAACAGGTTTAGGATATCCAAGCACAAAATTTGTTCTTTGAGGCATAATACTTTCTGGATCTGGTCCCTCAAATTCGTTCCTCCAGTCATTTGCAAAATTATAAACCCCAGCATGAGGTTCACCCCTCAAACCGCTGTGTTTACATTCTAGTCCTTCATATAACATGGAAGATATATGTTTATTACTGCGTTTTGGAAAACAACTACACGGTTCTAGCCCATCGGAAATTTGAACGCGAGGTGCTTTAACACGACCTCTTGACCTTCCATTGTCAGAATATATATCGGAATAAATAGAATCAACTTCATCTTCGTCGTCTTCTTCATAACCAATGTCGCTCCTTCGTGATTTCGATTTTCTTGAATTAGATTTTATAAATTTATTCCTATTTGACACTGAACCTCGTACATTGTCATACACGCTATCTTTATTCTTTATTTTACTTTTATTTTCAAGAGTTAAAGCATCATCCATCCAGTTTGCCATTTAAGAATCGGTTTCACACAGTCACTTCTTCAATAATTATATACAAGATCAATATACAATGAAATGTTTATTTTTTGGTATTCGGGGGGATTAGTTTTTGTTTTTCATTTCATAACATATAAGATTAAATGATTAAATGTGAATTTTAATTCAGCTTAGTAGAAGGTCATTACAAATCCCGTCAGCATGATGTTTACTTGTATGACCCCACGCATGCATAGTCTTAAAAGGAAGACATGCAGAATGGTAATCTTATTGTGCAGAATGGTAATCTTATTGGCCTCCACTGCACACGCCGTGGATGACAACATAATTATTTATATTCGTCAATTCTATGTAGAACAGTTTGTTATCGTGTATTGTTTGCCATTATGTAACGTCATTTTGTTTTGACAATTTTTACAGGAGTAAATAAATGTGACTCTGACATTTTTTGACAATTGTAACGCAATGCCATCTTGTGAACGCAACTTCTAGACAAGTTCCATAAAAAAAACTTTCAAACCGCGTAGGATTGTTCGTCATCATGTGTAGTTGTCTTTTATGTACCGTCATTTTGATTTGACAAGTTTTGAAGGAGTTAGACGACTGACTATTTTCTAGACTATGGCAGCTGTTTTCTATTCGTTTGATGTGTTTGAGCTTTTGATTTTGACATTTGATAAAGGAATTTCCGTTTTATTTTGGATTTCCCTTGGAATTCGGTATTTTTGTTATTTTACTTTTTTTCATAACATGACGACACCTTGTGAACGGAACTCCTATAAGACCGTGTGATAAAAAGCTCTGCGATACGTTGTGATATTGTTTGCTATCATGTATAGTTTGACATATATAATACACAGTATTATATGTCTCTGGTTTAAAATACTATGTATACCGTCATCTTGATTTGACAATTTTTACTGAAGTTATAGGACTTCGGCCATTTTTATGACTATTATAAGTTTTATAACTTAATGACACACAACTGCTATTAGACGTTTTACAGTTATCTTCCATACTTGGTATGACTGATTGTCATTGTGTTTAGTTAAACATACTCTACGGTCATTTTGATTTGACAATGTTTTTGTTACTTACAATTGTAATGAACTATGGTGATTTTCTAACTATTATAACACAATGACACTTCGAGAACGCAAATCTTCTGAGACTGTTTGGCCTAAAAGCTCTCATACATACTAGTACTACTATATAGGATTGCTAATCGTCTTTTGAAGTTTTTCATACTTTAATTTTAATTCTAATTTGACATTTTCTGCTGGAGTTATTGGTCTTTGTCCACCGCCTAGCTATTTCATCATACTCACACCCTGTGACTGAATTCCACAAAACACGGTTGCGTCTCTTTCCTCAAATAAACTTCACTTTTTGATTTTTTATGATGTTTAGTTGATAACCAATTTCTGACAAGTAACGTAATGTTTTCTGTATCATAGGCAAACCTCAATCAGATAGAGGCAAACCAGTAGATACTTGTTTGCTTTGACCTTGACGTAATCACCTCAAAATAAATATAGGGTTCTTACAAGTTTGGCAAAGATACTGGTCAAAAAAGGAGGAGATAGGATAAGAGCTATTGTTTGGTCCATGACTAGCAAAAAGGTTTAAATTACTCAAGTCTTTCAAAATTACGTTTATTTTGTTGGTTTAATCTGGACACTTTACTGATGTTCAGTGGTTGTCGTTTGTTGATGTGGTTTATAAGTGTTTCTCGTTTCTCGTTTTTTTTTATAAATATCAGATCGTTGGTTTTCCTGTTTGAATGGTTTTACACTAGTCATTTTGGGGGCCCTTTATAGCTTGCTGTTCGGTGTGAGCAAAGGCTCCGTGTTGAAGGCCGTACTTTGACCTATAATAGTTTACTTGTACAAATTGTGACTTGGATGGAGGGTTGTCTAATTGGCACTCATACCACATCTTCTTATATCACTTTACTGCAGAAAGGTTACTTGTGATCGAACTTGTGATGTTACTATGACGCCATATTAAACGTGTCGAAATTGATACCAACGGTGTTCGCTCCTCTTGTTTATGAATTTTTGCCAGATATTCAGAATCCTCTGGTTTTATCCATGTGGTGCCATTAAAACATTTTGCCCGCAAACCCCTACTTTTCTTTTCATTATTTTATTACATATAGTTTTAAAAGCCATATTTGAAAATCTTATAAAATCCTTGTAATTTTTCATAGTTTTTGGAAGAAAAAAGGTGACAATGTTAAATGAATGAAAAATCTAGAGAGAATCACTTCCCACCAAATTTTTAATGGCTTATATCTTGAAAACAAGCACACAGACCCTTCATTTTTTTCTTTTGTTTCAGTTCCTTTATTCATATACTTTCAATTTATAAGTTTTTAAAAAAGCTTGTTATTTTGAATAAAATGCTCCGCTGGGCGCAGCTTGATACGACCGCAGAGGTCGAACCCTGAACAGTTGGGGCAAGTATGGACACAACATTCAAGCTTGATACAGCACTGAATTTGGATTGTGATTAAATATTCGACACAGCATAGGTTTCTGACACAGAATGAATGTGGTCTAAGAACTTAAATTTTTTTTAATTTACCTATTCAAACCATATCATTATTATTTGCTTTTATATATAAATCAGAAATAACCAATTTAAAATGGAAAATTTTAAAGAAAAAAAAAGGAAAAAAATATCCCTCCCCAAATTTTTTTGAACCCCCTTATGATTCATCTCCCCCAAACTCAATCCCAGCCTTCCCTTTGTGGTATGGTACCTTGCAGTACAATTTCAGAGAGATCCATACACTTGAACACGAGTTATTGTCTGGAAACTAGAAAAATGTTTGTTTTTAGGCCCCTTTTTGGCCCCAAATTCCTAAACATTTTAGGCAATTATCCCCAAACTCAAGCCCAGCTTTCCCTTTGTGATATGGAACCTTGTAGTACAATTTCAGAGAGATCCATACACTTACACACAAGTTATTGTCCTAAAACTAGAACAGTTGTATAAAAATGCTTGTTTTTTGCCCCTTTTTGGCCCCTAATTCCTAAAATTTTGAGGCAATTACCCCCAAAATCAATCCCAGCCTTCCCTTTGTGGTATGGTACCTTGCAGTACAATTTCAGAGAGATCCATACACTTGAACACGAGTTATTGTCTGGAAACTAGAAAAATGTTTGTTTTTAGGCCCTTTTTTGGCCCCAAATTCCTAAACATTTTAGGCAATCATCCCCAAACTCAAACCCAGCTTTCCCTTTGTGATATGGAACCTTGTAGTACAATTTCAGAGAGATCCATACACTTACACACAAGTTATTGTCCTGAAACTAGAACAGTTGTATAAAAATGTTTGTTTTTTGCCCCTTTTTGGCCCCTAATTCCTAAAATTTTGAGGCAATTACCCCCAAAATCAATCCCAGCCTTCCCTTTGTGGTATGGTACCTTGCAGTACAATTTCAGAGAGATCCATACAATCGAAAACAAGTTATTGTCTGGAAACTAGAAAAATGCTTATTTTTGGCCCCTTTTTGGCCCTTTATTCCTAAACATTTTGGGCCAATACCCCCAAACTCAATTCCAGCTTTCCCTTTGTGATATGGAACCTTGTAGTACAATTTCATAAAGATCAACACACTTACACACAAGTTATTGTCATATAACTAGAAAAATGCTTATTTTTGCCCCTTTTTGGCCCCTTATTCCTAAAATTTTGAGGCAATTACCCCCAAACTCAATCCCAGCCTTTCCTTGGTGGTATGGTACCTTGCAGTACAATTTCAGAGAGATCCATACAATCGAACACAAGTTATTGTCTGGAAACTAGAAAAATGCTTATTTTTGGCCCCTTTTTGGCCCTTTATTCCTATACGTTTTGGGCAATTACCCCCAAACTCAATTCCAGCTTTCCCTTTGTGATATGGAACCTTGTAGTACAGTTTCATAAAGATCAATACACTTACACACAAGTTATTGTCATAAAACTAGAAAAATTCTTGTTTTTTGCCTCTTTTTGGCCCTTAATTCCTAAAATTTTGAAGCAATTACCCCCAAAATCAATCCCAGCATTCCCTTTTTGATATGGAACCTTGTGGTACAATGTCAGAGAGATCCATACACTAACACACAAGTTATGTCTGGAAGTTACAAAAATGCTTATTTTTGAACCCTTGTTGGCCCCTAATTTCTTAACTGTTGGTACCATAACCCCCAAAATCAATCCCAACCTGCCTTTTGTGGTATTGAACCTTATGGTAAAATTTCATAGAGATCAATTCACTTAAACTAAAGTTAGAGTGTGAAAACTAATGTGTCTTCGGACGACAGATAGCTGTTTTACTCATAGTTTTTGGACTAAATAGATATGTGCCAAGACTACCATGACAAAACGATATTTTACTCACAATACTGTCTTTGAACAAGACATTTAAGAGCATTTAAGTAGCAAAATATCTTTTTGGCAGTTTTGAAGTACATTCTAGAGGTTTGAAGCTCTAGTGCAAATATGTAAGACAAGATTCAATTAAAGGAGTTCACTTCTTCAAAAAAAATTATATATATAGCATTCAGAAAATTAGTTTATACAGAATAACAAACAAACCTACCACAAAATTCTTCAAACAATTTTCCAAGGAAAAGAAAAAAAATCCAAAATGTCATTTATCATTAATACAATGTCTTTTAAAAATCTTTTAAAAAATGAGTTATTTTCCTTTGTACAGAAATGGAATAATTCATCAAAAATTGAATTCTTGGGAAAGGGCTATAACTCAACAACGAGATAAGCTACAATCGTAAAAATTGAGCTTGACCTTCCTCTAATCACAGGAAACAACATATCTAAATTTAAAAAAATTTCGTGAAAGCATTTTCATGTTAATGAATGGAGACTGTTTGGCAGTCGCCCGTCCGCCTGCCGTACATCCTCAAATCAATAACCGATTTTTCCTTCGAAAATCCGGTTAAAAATATAAATACTGATGTCTGACCAACTAATGTCATATGTATGAGTGGCTGTTCATGTCAAAATAACGATACTTACATCATGATAGTTTTTCAATCGTGATGGTTTTAAAAAGTATCCCGATGCTTTTAACAACTATCATGACACTTATCAAAAGCATCATGATACATATAAAAAGTATCATGATACAAGTCTGCAGTATCATGATACTTGCTCAAAGCATCATGATGCAATTAAACTGACATTAGCATCGAGTTGGAAGCCTAAAGCATCACGATGTAAGTAAAAAGCATCACGATGGAAGTTAAAAGCATCACAATGTATGTTAAAAGCATCACAATGTAAGTTAAAAGCATCACGATGTAAGTTAAAAGCATAATGATGGAAGTTAAAAGAATCACAATGTAAGTTAAAAGCATTACGATGTAAGTTAAAAGCATCACGATGTAAGTTCAAAGCATAATGCTGGAAGTTAAAAGCATCACGATGTAAGTTCAAAGCATAATAATGGAAGTTAAAAGCATCACGATGTAAGTTAGACGCATAATAATGGAAGATAAAAGCATCACGATGTAAGTTAGACGCATAATAATGGAAGTTAAAAGCATCACGATGTAAGTTAGACGCATAATAATGGAAGTTAAAAGCATCACGATGTAAGTTAGACGCATAATAATGGAAGTTAAAACTATTATGATACAAGTCAACTCACAAGGGCGCAATGTCCTTTTGCAGCTAACCAATCAAAGCAATTCTTACAACTTTCGAGCCGATTGTGTAGAAATGAGATTTGGAACAAGATGGCCGTCTTAGCATTTAATGTTCCAACATGATGTTTTTTACTTCCATCGTGATGCTTTTGACTTATATCACGATGCTTTAAACTTCCGACATGATGCTTTTAACTTCCATCACAATACTTTTGAATTCAGTCAGTTGAATTGCATCGTGATGCTTTGAGCAAGTATCATTATACTTTAGACTTGTATCATGATACTTTTGATAAGTATCATGATGCTTTTGACAAGTGTCATGATAGTTGTTAAAAGCATCGGGACACTTATCAAAACCATCATGATGGAAAACTATAATGCTGGAAGTATCGTTATTTTGACATGAACGGCTACTCATACATATGAACGCCTGAATGATGTTATTTTGGTAGATTTTCGAATTCAAGGGACCAAAAAAGTGGCCTTATCATACCTTCTCATTTTGTCCAGAAACCAAAATGTTGACGTCAGGACATCAGGACCTCATTCATCATATCATAAGATGAGGTCTTAAATACATACAAGTATATCAAGCTCTTAATTGTCCAAGAAAAATCAAGTCGAAAAAGCACTTAAATCATAAAATATGACATGACAACTTTATTCCCTTTGACTCACATAGATTACAATTTTTGTGTAGTTTGTTTTAGTTTTCTTGTTATTTAATGTATTGCCTTGTTTTCTGATTGCCCTCCACCATTTCCTCAAACCATAACATAATTTAATACACAGAGATCAAAGTAGACATATTTTGGCATCCATTGACACTTCAGATTTCTTGCCATATACACATAAATTCATATCTACACAAATTCTATGTATCTGATATCTAATTGATGCTTTAATAAGCTGTGAAATAAAAAAAAAATAATAATGCATAAAATGAATACTTAACCTTTAACCTAAAATAAATCATTTCAGGTGACTACCAGTATAAGGAAGATGCCATGTGAAAGATATGAATCCTTGAAGCACTTTGTAGGTACCCTGGAATAAACAGCTTGGTAGTGGTTTATTTTTTATGGTGTAAAATTTTTCCCTTTTATATTTTGTTGCAAATAAAAAAACAAATTGAAAACAAAAATATTTATATAAATTAGGAGCTGTGATATGATTGCCAATGAGACAACTATCAAACAGAGTCCAAATAAGGCTGATCTAAGCAACTATATGTCAGAGTACATGTATGTCTATACTGTTATGTAATTCATTCATACAAATTGATTATTTTAGTTACTTTGAATATTGAGTTGTCAGTTAGCATCTACAGACTAATATAGTTCACGATTCAATGAGATATTTACGTTTGTGAAGCTTCAACACATGATTTTAGTGCCAGATTAATAAACGCTGTTCTTGTGTTGTACTAATACATACCTACTAACCTAGTAACAAACACTGGGTTGTATATCAAATTTTACATGTTGATGTCAAGGCTATAGACCAGACTCCATCCAATTACTTACATCCGACACAAAAAAAAGAGGGGGAACTGATTTATCCCTGTCCATATCTCCGTCGGTTTGTCCATCTATCCAATACACATTTGTTTGGCTTTTTTTTTATTAGTAACTACAAATGATTGTATCTTGATAATGGTATTATGGTACCAAACTTCATCTTTTTATGGCATACCGTTACATAATTTTAGTTCTTTTTATGTGCTACTTCCTGTTTGCCGTAATCATAGATCTTGGACAGGGGTATAATTAGTGAGCAATAACTCATAGTACATTTTGTTTATCAATTTTGAAAAGATTGACTAGTTTGACAAGATTGACTAGTTCTGCAAATACATGGGCACAAAACAGCTCTTTTCATCTCTTCTTCTTTGTGGTTCCGACTAAGTACAAATTCAACAAAAAGTGGAACAATACAAATCAGCTTATTTTCACATTCTATTGAAACAATTCTCTTATAACTATGGTACTGATAATAATACTGAATTGATTTCATCATTTATTTTTTTTTATCACACATTCACAGGATTTCTCTCTATCCCTGTCCATATTCTGCACTAGTACAGGACCATTAACAATATCATGTATGTTTAAATAATTCTTAACAAAAACAAGTCCTGCAACCATCACTAACATGTCCTTCAATTGTTGTTTCCTTACCTGATTAAATCAGAGGAGAAAACAAGTTCACATTATTCCGCAACTTGCAAAATTACATGAGCACACAGTATTTTACGACAAGTTGCTCTTTCCTTCATTCAATATATCTATTAACTTGGAATCACTAAAGATGCTGTCTAAAAAACTAACATCATACAACTTCTTTTTTGATTGGTCTATTACACACAGATATGTTAGTTTTATAACACTGTAAACTACAAAGAGGTACATTAGTCTTGGAACAGGAATATTTCTTAAGATTTGAACATCCTTTCACACCACATAGTGTCTTTGGTTTTGAGGGACTGGAAAATAAAGATTGCAACTATGGATTATAATATACAATGTATAAAAAAAATTTCTGACTATCAAAATATTTTAATGGTGTTTATTTTTATCATTTAAAATAATGTCTGTCATGTTGATGTGTGCCTATGAATTTCAAAATAATATAATACTAGTAAAATGTAATATATCTAAACTAAAATGATGAAATCCATGTTACAGTAATGTAATCCCGAAAATCTCACAGATCAAAAATTAAAATAGCAGGCAGACAACTTCATGTCCTGTAGAATAAATCTGCAAGTTTGGTTGAATTATTGTTACACATTATTCAATTTATTTTAATGACTTTCATGAAATTACTTGATGAAACAGTCAACATATCAACTTAATTTGAGAAGACCTGAGTTTCACATATTCATCAGTAATATCCCCAGGACCTTTTAGCATCATAATTATGTGATGCTATATTATTTGATTGCTATCAGAAACTGTTTTCTTATAATGTCTTTCATGGATGTGGTACTACAGATTCCCCCCCCCCCCCCATAAAAAATGCCATTTCAAAATTTGCTAGTTTATCATGGCGTTGTATGTAATTTCTCTTCACTGGACATGGGGTAATAAATCTTTGGAAATAGGCCTTGATTTATCAGTAACTTATTTTCATTGTGGGTTACACTTACCTAGCTTTTTCTGCAGTGAAAGGGAACTGTATCCCTGTTGGTACTGAGATGGTTATACCATGATGATTATTTACATAATGTACTTTGGGAGCATTACTCTTCTTTGAACTTTTGGTCTGAAAAAAAAATCATGGTTGCTAAATTAGTAACAGATACTAATGACTAGCATTTGATGTGCAATTTCACGGGAAAATGGACAATAGTATTGACTTATATCTCAAAGCACCATCAATTCTGTGAACCCACTAATCTGACTTTATCACAAAAATTAGCATATTCGTACATCTAACTTATTACATTAAAATATTCTTTAACTAATGTTTTATGTTTATTCAAAATAGTTGCTGAAAGCTCTATTTCCAAGTATTGAAGGGAAAATTAATGTGACTTGGTTAAAAGTAACTTAATTTTATAGATCTTATTCTACCTGAATGTTTTTATTTAAATGAATTATAATCTTTACCAACAGTCAAACTGTTTAAAATCTAGGAAAACTGAGATTGAATTATTTCCCTTTGTCTATTTGAAAATGTGTGAAAAATCAACTTTGATTAATTGATTGATTGTTGCTTTGTTAATGTCCAAATCAACTTTGATACCAAAAAATAAAGCTTATACTGAACTTTATTTAATTACTTCTACAAAGCATAAGACACTTGTTCTAAATATGATGTTCTTTAAACACTTGAGTACACACCCATGGTAAATATATTGATAGGTCAGCTGATCGGCAACGTCATGATTTGTTTGGGCTGTTCTAATCCCAATCCCACCTCGTATGAAAGAATTACCTGTAGTCAGACGCTATAAAGATGTCATTGAACTGTGACATGATTATATAAGCATTCTATGGGAAAATGCACGAAGGTGAAACTGAAAGTTGTCAAAACATGAAAACATAAACAAATAATGTTCATAACTTGTTGAAATAAAAGTAAGATGATCATTAAACTTTATTCAAACCTGTTTTAGAATGTTATTGTTAATTGTTTAATCATGTCACTTATTCAGTTTACTTCTTTTACGTCAATATTAATAGTATGTTCAATTATTGGAAAACCTAATATTTGCCTTCACCTAGAGCACCTTGATCCAAAAGATTTGCAGTCTTTGTTCTATTAGAATAGAAATAATTCATGGGGTTTGAATTAATATTAATTTTACCACGGGTTGGCCCTTGATGCCAATATTTTACCCAAAAGCTATGGCAAGAGGTAAAATATTTAGTATAAAGAGCCAACCTGTGGTAAAATAAATACAAATTCAAGCCCCCATGAATTATTTTTTAATTTTATATATATATATATATACACGATACAATTGCATTATTTCTTTTTATCAACCTTCAAATGTAATACTGTTTCTCAAAGATATTTCAATACAATGATCTAGGTGGTCAACATGTTTGGAGTATTAGTCCCTTTTCTAGATCATTATATTTCTCCAGCCAGCCAGTAATTCATGGACTGATATGGATCTGCCAAGCAAACACAAGGCTCCATTTGTAAAAGTGAGTTTGCTATCATGGGTTAATTACCTTCATTGATTTATTTTTAGATTCCTGTTTCTTCAGCAGTCTGTCCAGTGTTTGTTTCTGAAATCAGAAGATACAGTTACAGGCATGTATTGTATGTTTCACAAAAAATATTATAGAAAACTAAATATGAAAGGAAATTAAGAAATTTCATAAGTAGTCATATACAATTGATAATGCAAATAGTACCTTGAGGCTCATAGGAGTTGAAATTACTCATTTTGCATAAAGATGCCATTTTTATTTTTATTTTCATCTTTTGAAGGATCATGGAAACAAGATGTGACAGTGATAATACACCTCCATACCAAATATCATTGACCTACCACTCAAATGAGCTAATCACAAACTAATGCCATAGGCGGATCGAGGGGGGAGCCCTGGGGGCCCGGGCCCCCTTTTGTTGGAAAAATTTGGTTGATTATATAGGGAATCACTGAAGCATGACCAAAGCCCCCCCCCCCCCTTAGGTCAGTCAGCAGGGCCCCCTCTTATAAAAAGTTCTGGATCCACCACTGAATGCATTGTTGTTGCTACCACCACTGCTGGTAACAGCACGCCTAAGTCTCAGTTTCTCAACTTCGTCAGGGCCAGACACAAATTATTATCAAAGGGCAATTACTCCAATAATCATAGGCTTTTTCAATAAGACTATTAGGCCAAAGAGAAACCGTTGACATTAAGCCTTTTAATACATACATACAGATCTACAGTGTATCAGTTAAATTTATTCAACTAATTTAGATTAGAGCAGATTTAGACCATAACAATTGCTATAAGTAAAACAGAAACTTCTTATCCTCCATCTCAATTCAAAACAATCTTTTGTGGTTCAAGAAGAGCAATCTGCATGGTCATTTGTTAAGTTGACTGTTTTAAGTTTTATTTTTTTGTTTTTTTTCCCCGATTGATCATGGTGTTGTAACATCTTTCTTCAACATTAATCTTAAGTGGAAGAAAGATGTTACAACACCATTCGTATGTTCAAACTTTTCAACTTACTTTATCTTTTTCTCTTTTCTCATGAGCTTGTTGTCTTCTTTTCTTTGCTCTCTGTTGTCGCTTTAACATTTGTTCTTCTGTTAATTCCACCTGCCTATAACCTGTATAATAAAACAATTCTACCTGTCTATAACCTATATAATAAAACAGTTCTACCTGCCTATAACCTATATAATGATAATTTCACCTGTTTATAAATAACCTTCATAATAACAATTCCTTTTGTCTGTAACCTATATAATAAATGATTCCATCTATTTTTGACCTAGATTATAATAATTTCACCTGCCTATAACCTACATAATAGAGTGTTACACTCTTCTATAACTGTCAATATAATACTTCAACCTGTCATTAACCTACATTTAATTGATAAGTTCTGCTGTCATATTGTGACATTGCTGATAACTCCTCCTCTTACATTGTGACCTCGCTCATAAGTTCTGCTCACCTCTCAAAGTGGTGAAACAAGAATTCTGGAGCTACTGATCTTATCTATATCTAGTCATATATGATTCATACCTGACGGTAGCTGCATCAATTCTTGTTGATCTCCATGAAATAATGCTCTCTACAATAAAAGGTTAGAAAATAGAATTGTTGCTTCATTTAAACCAGTAACTATATTTCATGTTGCAATTTTTATTTTATCCCTCTTTCAAATAATAATCATGATAATTGTTGTATGCTACAGTTGTTAATATAAGGAGATGTGGTATGATTACTAATGAGACAACTATCACCCAGAGTTCAAATGATGAGGTCAATTGAGAAAAAGAAATGCTCACTTCCTTAATGTTTTTTTGATATAAACATGTATGTATGCATCAGGCATTTCAGCTTTTGAGGCATCATAGTAACTTGCATTTATCTCTTTAAAGATATTTTCAGGATTTTTTAAAAATCTTTAAGACATGTAGAAACATTTCTTCATATAATTAATTGCATGAAATAAACATAAAATTCTAAAACTCGATGTCTGTTGTTGATTTCTATTCCCTTAAAGATCTGAATTAATTTAAATTAGAAAAATAAAAACTGTACCTGTCGGGCAGTTAACAATTTAGGATCTTTACTTCTCCTCAGCATGCCAGAATCATCTAAGTTTCCTTTCTCCAGAGCATCCAACCATTGTTTTTCTTCATCTGATGTATCTACATCTGGTTTCTTTACTTTTTCTTCATCTTTGATTTCTAACAAGACATTAATGGTAATGAAAGCTGCACATAGTACAAGATTTTATAGAATGGGGTCCGTATGTTTTGTTCTTGCCATTGTGTTTCAAAAAACATTTTGATTTCATACAACATAATTTGACAGTTTAATACTTGTAGCAGTAATGGCAACAGCAAAATAAACAGACAATATTATTATTATTGAAATGTGTCAAGTTGGTCTCTCATTAAAAATACATCAAACACATCTAAATCAGGTTTCATTTAAAACAGAATTAGGGGGCATTTGAAATTTTAATACGCAGGAGACGTGTGTTATCAAAATAGGAATAATACAGGAATAATAAAATGCTCCGCAGGGCGCAGCTTGATACGACCGCAGAGGTCGAACCCTGAACAGTTGGGGCAAGTATGGACACAACATTCAAGCTTGATACAGCTCTGAATTTGGATTGTGATTAAATATTTGACACAGCATAGGTTTCTGACACAGAATGAATGTGGTCTAAGAACTTAAAAATTTTAAATTGGACATTCACCTATTATGGTCCAATATCCAAAATCTAAATACATGGTTAGATTCAGCATATCAAAGAACCCCAAGAATTCAATTTTTGATGAAATCAAACAAAGTTTAATTTTGGACCCCGATTTGGACCAACTTGAAAACTGGGCCCATAATCAAAAATCTAAATACATGTTTAGATTCAGCATATCAAAGAACCCTAAAAATTCAATTTTTGTTAAAATCAAACTAACTTTAATTTTGGACCCTTTGGACCTTAATGTAGACCAATTTGAAAACGGAACCAAAAATTAGGAATCTAAATACACGGTTAGATTCGGCATATCAAAGAACCCCAATAATTCAATTTTTGATGAAATCAAACAAAGTTAAATTTTGGACCCTTTTGACCTCAATGTGGACAAAGTTGATAACGGGGCCCAAAAATCAAAAATCTAAATACATGGTTAGATTCAGCATATCAAAGAACCCCATATATTCAATTTTTGTTGAAATCAAACAAAGTTTAATTTTGGACCCCGATTTGGACCAACTTGAAAACTGGGCCCATAATCAAAAATCTAAATACATGTTTAGATTCAGCATATCAAAGAACCCTAAAAATTCAATTTTTGTTAAAATCAAACTAAGTTTAATTTTGGACCCTTTGGACCTTAATGTAGACCAATTTGAAAACGGAACCAAAAATTAAGAATCTAAATACACGGTTAGATTCAGCATATCAAAGAACCCCAATAATTCAATTTTTGATGAAATCAAACAAAGTTAAATTTTGGACCCTTTGGACCTCAATGTGGACCAATTTAAAAACGGGGCCCAAAATCCAAAAACTTAATACACGGTTAGATTCAGCATATTAAAGAACCCCAAGAATTCAAGAATAAACCCCCATTGAAATTGATCAAGAAATAAGCAATTTATACAAAGTATCTTCTTTTGCACAATACTGTGCAATTGAATATTTCTTGCTATTGCGCAATACTGTACAATTGACAATTTCTTGCTATTGCGCAATATTGTGCTATTGGATATTTCTTGCTATTGCGCAATACTGTGCAATTGAAGATTTCTTGCTATTGCGCAATACTGTGCAATTGAAGATTTCTTGCTATTGTGCAATACTGTGCAATTGAAAATTTCTTGCTATTGCACAATACTTATTAGATAATAATTTACACATCCTGTTTGGTGTGTATCTCCTACCATATCATTATTATTTGCTTTTAAATATTAATCAGAAATAACCAACTTAAAATGGAAAATTTTAAAAGAAAAAAAAAAGGAAAAAGAAAAAAAAAGAAAAAAAAAAATCCCCCCCCCAAATTTTTTGAACCCCCTTATGATTCATCACCCCCAAACTCAATCCCAGCCTTCCCTTTGTGGTATGGTACCTTGCAGTACAATTTCAGAGAGATCCATACACTTGAACACAAGTTATTGTCTGGAAACTAGAAAAATGCTTATTTTTGGCCCCTTTTTGGCCCCCAATTCCTAAACGTTTCGGGCAATTACCCCCAAACTCAATTCCAGCTTTCCCTTTGTGATATGGAACCTTGTAGTACAGTTTCAGAAATATCCAAACACTTACACACAAGTTATTGTCATGAAACTAGAAAAATGCTTGTTTTTTGCCCCTTTTTTGGCCCCTAATTCCTAAAATTTTGAAGCAATTACCCCCAAAATCAATTACAGCCTTTCCTTTGTGATATGGAACCTTGTGGTACAATGTCAGAGAGATCCATACACTTACACACAAGTTATTGTCTGGAAGTTACAAAAATGCTTATTTTTGGCCCCTTTTTGGCCCCTAATTCCTTAACTGTTGGTACCATAACCCCCAAAATCAATCCCAACCTTCCTTTCGTGGTATTGAACCTTATGGTAAAATTTCATGGAGATCCATTCACTTAAACTAAAGTTAGAGTGCGAAAACCAATGTGTCTTCGGACGACGCCGGACGACGCCAGACGACGACGACGACGCCGCCGGACGACGACGCCAACGTCATACCAATATACGACCAAAAAAATTTTAATTTTTGCGGTCGTATAAAAACTAGCTGCACCGACTTCAGTAAATGAAATTATAAAATCGTGTGAAATTAGAGAATTCTTCATAATATATTGAAGAAAGTTCTAGAAACATTGACAAATATTTTCTATCCTGATTGCGACCATGGTTACAGAGAACATATCCAAATCAGGGCCTTTTAAACTCTATGACTATTTTAGTAACTATCATCAATGCTACATGTAACAATTGTTTTAACAATCTACCTTAAAGTTTTGTTCTTAATTTTGTCAATAACATTATGAACATGATCCTTCTTAAAAATAAACCTGACCATATTAAAAGTAAGGAGTGTCTTTTCATGAAAAATATAGAGACAGGATATCATTTGAAATAACAAAGAGCATGCACTTCAACACTGAGAATAAACTGAAGTGATAGTCCATTTTCCAATAACTGGTACCAAGGATTTGTACAGTAAAACAGTTACATCATTTATTACATGCAATTTTGTTCCTGTTATTTTTTTTGGAATGTAGCAGCTTTTGAATGAAATGGGTTTAAACAATTTAAGTGACATTTCCTTATTAGAAATCTACCATACTAATTTTGACTCTAAGATAGTAAGATTCAATGGATTATATATTGTGACTGTATGCAGATTAACAATACAGAACCCTGTTGATTATAATGCAATACTGAGTGACAGATTTTTACTGGTAGAACATGACAATAAGTAAAGAATATAGTGACTGATGACAAAAAATTGCTGACAAAATGGATGCCAAGGAATCATTCAGGACATGTACATCTATAACCTGATATTGGTCATGTGACTAGCCTGTTGGTACACAGGAATCATTCAGGACGTTTATAATCTAACATTGGTCATATTGACCTACCCGTTGATGCCCAGGAATACTGTAAACCAACTTATTTTCACGGATACTTTATTTCGCGTTAAACACTTTCTAGTCCACTTCGCGGCTATTTAATTTCACGATTTTCTAATTTACTTAATGTAGTTTAATAAGGAAAGATCCGAGTTTTACATTTTCGCAACGATTTATGTTCACGTTATTTTTTTACTCACGAAAGTCTAGAAAATAAATCGCTCATGAAAATTAGATTGTTAACAGTAATTCAGGACGTCAATAATCTAATATTGGTCATGTGACCTACCTGTTGATGCCCAGGAATCATTCAGGACTTCTATAATCTAATATTGGTCATGTGACCTACCTGTTGATGCCCTGGAATCATTCAGGACATCTATAATCTAATATTGGTCATGTGACCTACCTGTTGATGCCCAGGAATCATTCAGGACGTCTATAGATATAAGAAGATGTGGTATGAGTGCCAATGAGACAACTCTCCATCCAAGTCACAATTTGTAAAAGTAAACCATTATAGGTCAAAGTACAGCCTTCAACACTGAGCCTTGGCTCACACCGAACAGCAAGCTATAGAAGGCCCCAAAAATGACTAGTGTAAAACCATTCAAACAGGAAAACCAACAGTCTAATCTATATAAAAAACAAGAAACGAGAAACACTTATGAACCACATCAACAAACGACAACCACTGAACATCAGGTTCCTGACTATAATCTAATATTGGTCATGTGACCTACCTGTTGATGCCCAGGAATCATTCATGACATCTATAATATGATATTAGTCATGTGACCTACCTGTTGATAACCAGGAAAATATTCAGGACATCTATGATTTAATATTGGTAATGTGACCTACCTGTTGATGCCCAGGAATCATTTAGGACATCTATAATCTAATATTGGTCATGTGACCTACCTGTTGATGTCCAGGAAAATATTCAGGACATCTATGATCTAATATTGGTCATGTGACCTACCTGTTGATGCCCAGGAATCATTCAGGACATCTATAATCTAATATTGGTCATGTGACCTACCTGTTGATGCCCAGGAATCATTCATGACATCTATAATCTGATCTTGTGACTCATCTGATGATTCTTTCTTTACTGTTTGAACACTGCATATATAATAAATAAATAAATTAGTGAGTAAATAAATAGGTAAATATATATATTAAAGCAATAACAAATAAAAGCAAACATTTGAATATCTATTTATATACTAGTAATACAGATTATACAAGGACAATGTTTCATTCTGAATTGTACAACATATGTTGTAAATCACCCTGTTGAAATACTTTTGATTATTGAGTATCCTATTTTTGTGAATTTCCATGCATATCCTGCCATAATTAATCAAAATCACCCATTTGATTCCTGACAAACTGCACTGATTTCTGATGTGTAAAATCCAATCCACTAACAAATTCTTTGCAGAGATCAGGAAAATAGGAATATGTGTCTATTGATAAATAGTGAAAGCATTTTCACAGTATATGGGTAAGAGAAGAAGAGGTCTATTTAGTTCATACAGCACAGGTCTAATATCAAATTAGTTCTTTGGAAAACTAAATACCATATATACACGTGTACATTGTACTTCAAACAATGGTAAAAGCAATTACATATGACTTTTTACTACCATATTTAAATGTTACATACATGTACTTGTGAATTTATACCATGTATACCACAAACCTTTTAGTTCCCAAAGTTTCACCACCAATTCTCAATTTAAGTTTTATGGACGGTTTTGGTGACGACAATTCTTCTAGATCGCCTTCCTTTTTCTTTTTATGCTTCTTCTTATGTTTTTTGTGTTTCTTATGTGAGCTTCCAGGAGGAGAATCTGTAAAAGGTAAAATTTCAATCTACTGATAATGTATACCTTTTAGAAGTGAATTCATACATTAAATCTTATGTACTTCACTTGATCTTTGATGTAATCAAAATATAGAGATACTACGAGCAGAGCTCACAAAATGATACCCTCTTCACCACATACAGCAAGGAGGAGCTGTGGATACAAAATAGACACTGTACTGTCCAGATACAATGTATTCAAATAGTGGCTTCTAACATGACAAAAGTTGGATAGATGGATGTGGAACGAAATGACAGGCACTATAAGCAGGGGTATACAAATTAATATATCTAATAAATGCAAAGTAAATTTTACATTGTTATATGGTAGCGAAGTTCCCAAGAAGAAAATTGATAAAACGAAAAACCAATTTACTAATGAACTAAAAAATCGTTAACTTTCTTTTCTAACAGTTGAGGTTGCCCATTACCCTGTTCCTGTTCTGTTGACAGACAGGATATTGTAAAGTATTCAAAAGGTTTGCTGACTTCGTCCCCTATCACAGGTAACACCTGCCTCATATTAATGAGTACATGTATTTCATGATGGCTCATCATTGGAACAGTTTCAGCATGTTCAGTTGATCATACCTGCCAACCCTCTCGTTTTGAGTGGAGTCTCCTGTGCAAACGACGAAATTTTGGAAATCTCCCGCTTGCTGGTCAGCTCCCACACAGGAGTATAGAATCTCCCGCTTTGGGATATTTTGACCTGGAATAACCCGTGTTCGTAATTCTTTGGCTTTTTCATTAATATCAATAGAAATAAATAAACAATCGGCAATCATTTGAAAACTTTGGTCAGTAGTTTTTATGTTCGATATATAAGTAATCGAAATTCAGTTCTTTTATGTCAACTCCTAACAAGACAGAGGACTTTGTCTGGACCAAGCGGCAGTGTAAAAAAGATGAAATAAATAACTGCAAATTGAAATGCCAAGCAGATAATTAATTTTGAATGAAAGATTTTCAATTTTTACGACCAAGTTCACTTCGCAATGAATCTTTTTGCACATCATGTTCACAGAGTTCGCGAAAATGGTCGGTCCTGTCGGTCCTATCGGTCAAAATGAGGCTCGGACCAGTATTTTGAAGGCTAGTGCCGGTCCCGATGACCGATGTAAAAACGGCCGTTGTAGTGCATATTTCGGCACTTTTTTACATCGGTTATTAGATGTACCGCAACTGTTTCCAATAAGTGTTTACATCGGTTATCAGATGTACCCGCTGCCAATTTCCGGTACTAGTTTACGGATTTATTATAAACAAACCAAAGCGGCGATTTACACGTGGCCTTCTAAATTTGTTCATAGAGCCATCCCTGGCAAACAATCGGCGATTGAACCCTTCAATGGAGCAAACAAATACTGTAACAGCTGAGAAAGCGATTCAGATGATGAAATGGATAGTGAAGATGACTTTAAATAAGAACAATCAGAAGACCTGAACTGGTCCTTCATTGTTAATTTGCCTGTGGGTGCGAAGAATCAAACTAATATTAATAAAGTTATTTTTCAATAAAATATGTTATTAATTTTATTTCAGGATAAAATTGACAGATTTTGTAGGACTGGCTAAAATTTTGTAGGACTGACAAATAATCATGCTTTGTCGGTCCCATGACCGACGGGTCGAAATAAGTTTTCGCGAACTCTGTGTTCAATCAACTTTTTGATTACTTCTGGTGGTCTGTACGATGTTTGAAAGCATGTTTAGTGTGAGACTCACAACAAAATCAAAATATGGAATGTAATGAGTTATGAGACTCGGAGGTATTGAAAAAGGCTTAAAAAAACCCACCTTGTATAGATTATAACCATGAATTGAAGAAATAAAGTATATATATTAACTCTTATTGGTGTTTTGTAGATGAATACATAAACAGGTCATATATTTAACTTGAAAATGTCGATTGCGCAAAATCTCCCCCTCAGCTGTCATAGCTGAGGGGGAGATCTCCCTCTTTGAAGGTTTCAGTGGTTGGCAAGTATGGTTGATGATAATTTTATATGTTATAATTTTATATGTTATGAGTGTTTCGATTGACATCTAGTAATATGTCAAATGACCTACATGAATGGTCCTGGCTTTCCAAACACTGCATATATGAATTGTAATCACACATTCATCAGGGTTTTGTGCTCTTTTTGTCAATATATGAAGATCACAATACTGTTTGGCACTTGTTTACTTAGCATCCACTATCTACTTTTTTGTGTTTAAGGTGCATGTTGGTCTTTTTTCTTTAAATATTTTGAGTTGTTGTGGTATATTTTTTGTGTTTTTGAGTCAATATGTGGACCAATGAAATCATTATCCACTTTCTTAAATGAAAATTAAGGTTCATGTGGACCCTTTGGCTAAAATGGCTGCATTTTCACCTCAAAATTTACTCTGAGTACAGACAAACCTGCGCATCTGGAAAAGTTTTAAGGCATAGCATGCCCTAGATAAATAAACTTCTAATGCATTGTATGTTTTAGAAAATTTAAAACTTAACTGGATTTAGCAGTGCACTTTTTTTCGTTCCTGCAGAAGATGATAAAATTAACAAACAGTTGAGTTTCACTTGATATGGTCCACTCAGGTACACAGTTTAAATCACCAATTATTGTCAGGTATCTATTGTCCATCTATTGTCCATGTCAATCAAAACAGTTCACTTCAATTATTACATGTGGGGAAGTTCTCAAACCACTTTCCCAACTTAGTTTATTTTGGCACCTTCTGGAGGAATGAAAAAAAGTGCACTGCAAAATCCGGTTAAGTTTTTAATTTTCTAAAACATAAAATATATTTGAATTTTATTTATCTAGGGCATGCTATGCCTTAAAACTTTTCCAGATGCACAGGTTTGTCTGTACTCAGAGTAAATTTTGAGGTGAAAATGCAGCCATTTTAGACGAAGGGTCCACATGAACCTTAAAATACCCAGAAATGGAAAGATAATTAATTAATTGAATCCACATTTCGTTTTCGTTAATGACATCAACAAACATTTAAAAGGTATCAAAAACAAAGCACCTACCAATGATAAGTTCTTCCTCTGTACCAGATTCCTTCCTCTTCCCCATATTTTAGACGTTTAAGAACTTAAGCAGACTTGTGTCTTTTTTTTTTAGCGGAAGTAAATACAAAGTTTCCGAATAGAAATTACTATGCAGTCAAATATCCTCAGATAGGACCAACTTTGATGTGAACCAAATCTCTGTTTTGTGTGTATCTTTTGTATATTCTTCCTTTCTAGGAACACCACCAAGAAATATGGACTACCATACACTTATCTTAGGTATTATGCTACTTTGCATTTCTTGCATTGGTTTTATATAAAATCTGCAGCTATTTTATGCAGATCGATTTTGTAATGACAATAGACAATATTTATTTGCACAAACACATTTACATTAAATGGTTATGGCATACAGTATAGAACAATTGAAACATTAAACTAACAATAATTAAATTAGAGTGACAGTGGTATTCACACGAAAAGAATACTACAAATCTGTGTGTATTGACAGTTACACAATTATTTATGTCCATGAACAAAAAAGGATACATATCAAAAAATAAAATAATGTCACAAGTTACGTTCGATAAGCAAGTACGTGTTACTCTCATAGTAATATCATTCTGAAAGTAAAAAAATATACAAATCAAATGAGGAGGGGAAATTTCTTCTATATATTTTAAATAGCAATTCTCTGTAACCAACAACCAAGATCCGGCACACATAGTCTCAGATTTTTTTGACATTTTGTTTGTTGGTAGCTATCGACTAACATAGAAGAAATAGATTGACAAAAAAAAATGTTTATGTCGTCGTTGCCATGGTTACGGGTCCCCTTGGATTTTGGCTCAAAATTGCATTTTTTGAGGTAGAAAAATTACCATTTTCAGGCAGTTATCATGCACAAATTTTAATTTTGATGAATATTGCAATATTTGTTCATTAAAAACTAACATTTAAAAATTTAGATAAACGATAAAAAATAATTCTAATAAAAAGGGGTGAAGGTGGCAACAATGATTAAAATAAGGGAGTTTTCATTGTACTCAAGAAGGCAAATTATAAGCATTTTGCATAAACTAATTACACATTTTTGCAGTCACACGCATTTACATTGAAATTGTTACTATAAACTAACACAGTTGCCTAGTAATAATTTATAACCAAAGGTTTGGGATTTAGGTTGCTATAGGGTGGTTGCTAAGGGAACCTAAAAGTGATATTTTTGTTATTTTGTATTATAATTTTGATCTTGTTATTAAAATATCTCATTAACTATTACAGCTAAAGGATAAAAATCAATTGAAAAATATTCCACATTCAATAACCTAAAGTTTTATCTAAAGGTAAAAGCTTATTTGATGACCTTGACCTTTGACCTTGAGTCTTTTATTATTAGATTTTGTCAGAAGTGGTTACAAATATGCCCATACCTTGAATAGAAAAATGTTCAGAACGATTATTGCTTTTATTTAGTAACAAGGATAAAATGCAAGAGGTCAAGGTCATGTCAAAATTTCTTAGCAACGACCCTTACTTGATACAAAAGTACCTAGCAACCATACATATTTGGGTTCAGACTAATATGAACTGTTATATAGATCCTTATTGAAAGGTGAGAGATCAATATCGTTACAAAAGACTTAAGTAGCTATACTGATATAGTTGGAAAATGCTAGCAATGTTTTGATCCCTTGTGACAAAATTCCGAAATTTTGAAACTAAAATGAAATTCTTTCTTTCAATAAGAATGTCAAATTCCTTTTAAGAACAGAAATAAGTTACTGACATGATTTTACTCATGTGTATTTCAGTTAGTCATCAGCCACGATGTCTCCTGTTCTGACTTAAAACATCATAGATATTTTTTGTGTGTATTTAGTGTTCATTAAACTTTCAATCATTCGAAATAAGTACTAAGGCTTTTTCCCAGGCATATATATATATATATATAGGTTTACAACAAGGGGGTAAGTGGTCAATATCGTCACAGTAGTCTTTAGTAGCCATTCTCATATTGTGGAAAATGCCTAGTAACCATCATTTTCTGAAATACTGAAGATAAAATGTAAAACAAATTTTTCTGATCATGATTCAAAGATCTTCCCTTTAAACTCACCTGTCTCTTAAGAGCTTTATTAGGTAATACAAACACTGGGCGGTCGTCATTGTCATTATTTTGCACATTTTCCGTCTACAATATTTCCCTTTGAAACTGCATAATCAAATGTTATTAAAATTTACAGTAATAATGCATAGCCCATATTCTGTTACCACCTGATAAAAATTATGGCTAATACAAGTAAAAATGGAAGACTGAAATTAAAACGATAGTTCTTGGCTTAATTTATCGGTATATAATGGTCGGTAGGTGTTGATCTATCTTAAAAATTTTCAGAACAGAATTAAATGTCACAGATTTAAGCAAATTTTACAGTTATTTTACTTGAAAACTATTTAAATAGAAAATCACAAAAATACTTAAAATGACTTTAAACGACGACTTTTACCCAGTTTGTTGGCCTAGCCTTCAGGGCAAATAAAGCTTTTCTCATATCTTGCCATCCGCCATCTTCGTCTGTAAACGTGTGCAAAAGTCTGGTTCTCTGAAATTACTGGGCAAATTGGAACCAAAACTTATCATTCTTATAATATGTAGATAAAAAACATCTGAAGGGACATTAACACACTGTAATATAGAATAATGCTGCTGTTACACCACTGTCCCAGGTTAGGAGAGGCTTGTTCCACGCTCTCAAACATATTTAACTAAGCCACAATATGTATGTGTCTGTCCCAATTGTCTGTCCAGAGCCTGCTGTCGTTTGTTTGCTCTATATCATATTTTTTTCCGTTTCATAATTGTTTGATCATAAATCAGGCTTTCGGTTTTCTCGTTTGAACAATTTTACATTTTGTCAATTTGGGACCTTTTATAGCTAGTATAAGGTATGGTTTAGCTCTTTGGTGAATACCGGGCGGTTTTAGTCTTTGGCGGATTGTCAATGCCTCATTGGCAATCATACAATATTTTCTTATTTTTCAGTTTAAAATTTCTTGAAATGAAAATACATACCAAGTTAATTCAAGAGAGAATTAATGATACAGCCATTAGTCTAGTGAACGAAATCATTCTGAGACTATAATACACGGATAATCACTCAAAATAGTAAAACACATTTTTAATAGTCTAGAAGTTATAGTTGGTGTCATCTTTCATTTTCCTTTTTTATTCTAAATACTCGTATTTTTTTTACGCCCTTGAAATGAAAGACTGCGACTCTTATATGATGGTTGATGACACATTTATATAAAATTCTACTAAAGTTATGTTAACTAAGAATAAGTGCATACTCGCTTTGTCAATAAAATGGGGGTGATACTTTAATAAGCATCCCGGCCTAATTAATATGAGCCGAATTTTTCTCATTCGCTGTCAAAGTAGAGGCATTGAAGATGAAGTCCATTTTCTCTTAAAATGTTCCTCTTATAAACATTATAGAGAATATCTCATAATTAAAAAATAATTCTCGCAGTTGAACAGTGTTAAGTATCTTTTATAGCAAACAGCTTAAGTTATCCTCACGCATTTGAAAACTTTCAATCGGCTTCTAGTATTTTGGGAAGAGATTTAGTTATATCCTTTTCCCAGACCTAGTGTATTGAAAAATTTCATCCTGTATGTATGTTACCATTGTGACCTGGATTCTAATTTAACTATAATATGAATACACTACATATAATTATAATTGTGTAACATATGTAACCAATGTAACTATTGCGTCAATGGAGGTTACAAAACAAGATAACTTAAATCAGGTGCACATTTTATACCTTATATGGAACATTTTTGTCAATTACATATATTAAATAAATACTTATTGGTTAGAAGTTCAATGTTAAAAGTCAATTGTTCAAGTTATCATGTCTCCTCGGTCATTCCATCATTTCAAGGATTTTTATTACTTACTAAAATCAGAGACAATCATATACAATACATATGTATCTGCTAAAATATACGTCCTTGATTATGATTAATATGTACTTTTAGTCTTAGATGCATGATTTAAAAAAAAAATGTTTTAGTTGTTATAAGCTTTGAACTAGCTGTCAGTCACTGCGGTTACTCTCAGATCTGTACTTAGTGTCTTTTTGTTGTTGGGATGTATAAGTACCCTGCCATGTCCACTCTGGTTTTGTTAAATGTATTTCTGCTTTGTATCCATCTGATGAGTTAAGCCCTTTTCAACTGATTTTTATAGTTTGTTCTTATGTTGTACTATTACACCACTTTCCCAGGTTAGGGGAGGGTTGGCGCTTTTAAACTAGTTTAACCCCGAAACATTCTGTATGTGCCTGTCCCAAGTCAGGAGCTTGTGATTCAGTGGTTGTCGTTTGTTGCTGTATATCAGGCATATTTGTTTTTCGTTCATTATTTTGTACATAAATCAGGCCGTTAGTTTTCTCGTTTGAATTGTTTTATATTTGTCATTTCGGGGCCTTTTATAGTTGACTATGCGGTATGGATTTCAGGATTCAGAAAAAATTTTGGGACCTTTTTTGGCTAAAAAACATAAAATAAGTGTAAAATGCACTTTTTTAACGGTTCCTGACGTAAGGCATGTATATTTTATAGTTAAAGTGTAAGGGTTGGACATTTTTGATGCCGTATTCTCCCCATTAATTGTCTATTATAAAATGATTGGATGGATCCAAAGCTATGAACTAATATATTTGATGTGGGACTTGTCAGTAAAAAATTGACATGGAAAATTCTCGTTTGTTGTATGTTTAGTTAGCATAATGTCACGGATTTCTTGTTGTAAACAAGATATACGCCGGGCTATTCAATGCAATTTACAATACGACCGACACGAGTTAAGAAAGACAAACAAGCAATTTTTATCAAAATTTTTGGTTGAAATGTTTCACCCAACAAGGGAAGTGAGGGGTTTCAAACTCAACCAAAGGCTACGAATGAGTCTGAAATACAACGAATATATGAATGACGGTCGACAAATGGAGACATATTAAGGCCACACCCAGCAGGCAGGTTGCAGTCGGGCCTTGAAAAAATATTCATTTTATCAGTTCGACGAAACAGACATTCCGGTCAGATATGGGATTTACATGCAAACCCCCGGCCCCAAAAAAATTACGCCCGTTTTTTTTATTCATCATGTTCATTTAATGCTAAATAATTCTGTTGGAAATTTTTGTTTCTAATAGCAAAAAAAGTGGACAAGATTATTGTTTTTAATCCAGATATGGCCATAATTTTTGTTTAAGGCAAAAATCAGGGTCAGAATTTTTTCTCTCAAACATCTCAGACTGCCCCCTCAAATCAAATGATCCGTACCTTAGACTTTAAATCTATCTAGAGCTTATTGACTGGGGATCATTATTCAGCTATGTTATTAATAGGCTGGGGCGTGTTGGGTTAAACATGTTTTCGTAGGTAAACAATTTTGCTGTGGAACTTTTTTTTCATGAAAGTGTAATAAAGTATTACTTTCTGTTTGGTGGAATTGTGAAATAGAAGTCAATACATACGTTCTTGCTCAATCCTTTGTCGCTTTGAAGGTGTCATGCTTGTCATCCTCAGCCTAAGCAATGTGTTACTGTAATTTGAATTTCAAAATGACTGAGTGACGTTTTTTCGACGCACTGGTCAACTCCACCGTAGCGAATCACATGATTTTGACATCATCAATAATATATTACAGTAACAGTAAATACGAGCGAAACATATCTGTATAAGTACAGAATTGCCGCATAAAAATTAAATACGCCGAAAATGGCAAAGTTTACGAAGTCTAGTCTGATTAATCATTTTACAAAAAAAAAAAAAAAAGTGCAAGCAAAAGGGGGGGGGGCGTACGCCCTCTACGCCCCCCCTCTGGATCCGCCACTGGATCATTTTACTCATTATTGAAGGCCGTACGGTGGCCTATAGTTGTTAATTTCTGTGTCGATTGGTCCATACCACATTTTTGTACCGCATCTTCTTATTTGTATATTGTTTTGTTTTTTTTTGTTTTTTTTACATTTTTAAACATTTACAGCCTGTATAAGTGCTAATGAATACACAATAGGCAATAATTAATTTTACAATCACATTTAAATGAAATGGTTAAGGCAAGGATTTATATACAGTTTAGTATATAAATCCTTGGTTAAGGCTTGATCAAATACAAACAATAAAACAGACAATTGTATAATGTATAATAATAAATGGGAGTGACCGTGGCTTTCAATGACCATGTCTGATCATGTCTGAACAATTCATTTCAAAAACATTTTTGCTATGGATTTGAAGGAAAAAAAGAATCGGTTTTAATTGATATCACTCATCTAGCACTCAACCCGATAACTATCTAACTAACTAATGATTAGACACGAAACAAGACCATCACGTGTTAGGGTGTCTTAGTTCTATAACGGCACTGTCTTACCAGTGATATACACATGTGTTACTTTCAAATTTTCAAAGCGCCGGATGAAAAAGTACAGGGTAATCCGAATGGAACGTTATATAACAATATTATTTGGCCTAGTTGTAGATCTATTGCGATACATAACACAGTCTTGATGTATTTGTGACAAAGTTCATTTAAACTTCTCTGATTAACCTAAAATGACCGATACTGAAATATGGCCAGAGAAATTTGACGGAGCAGTTTATGGTTTGGCAGTTGTAATAACATCCAGTTTTTTATTTTATGTATTTGGTAGAATTGCACATGTTCTTACTCCTGCCAGTGCATGCCACTCTCCCTGGAGATGGAAAAACATTTTAGTTTCATTAGTCCATGCTGTTATTGTTGGTACATGGGCTTGCTTAAGGTAAATTGTATGTAATGCTTCTATCGTATTTTTTTTCTCGCTTGGACTATTCCCTTTTGGTATTCTGTGTCTGGCATGATTTTCTGACTTGGCCATCAACAGTCAGAGTCTGGAACTGTTTTCAAATTTGACCACCCAGATTAGAAAAAAAACCTGCTACGGACTCAGAATCCAAAAAAGGACTAGGACATGGACAAGATATGATAAGGTCATTGGTAACCCAGTGTACACTACAATCTACATGTCAGTTATGATGCCTTTCCATTACTTGCAATGGAGCATCCCACGAGTGATTCACTATTGGCAAAATTAATTCTGTAAACATGTTCAGGTATGAATACATTCTAGTTTCAATAATACATGTTCATGTATTTAAATTTATTTATTTTAACCTATTTGTGTTCAGTGATCTGGAAGGATTTTTTCTCTATGGGCCCAGGGCCCCCCAAAAATAAATTCAATGAGCCATTTTTAGAATTAATGGGCCATGTTGTCAAATGAGTGGGCCATTCGTTTACAATAAAAAAAAATAAATAAAAAAATTGTATATTTCACTGTACTTACAAGTATGATTCTAATTAATATCATGGATATTGTTCCTGTGATTTTGTAATTTCAATTTCAATGAATATACAATAACTTCTTCCAAACCGGGCAATATTAACGATAACCTTTATTTACAATGTTAAAACTTGTACTGTTCCCTTGTTCATGTTCATGGTTTTTTTTACATTAAATTTGGGTCTTCGTCGATACCATACTTATTCCAGACGTTCCGTATTAGAGGACGTTTCTGACATTTCCTCTGCACTTGTATTATTATTACTTCATCACGATGACAAAAATAACAGTAGAGAGCAACGTTAATTGATAAGACACAACAACAATTCGCTGAAGGCATGTTTACAAAATGTCAAAACGAGCCAAAGACCAAAAAAATTGACAAGGACAGTTAAGCCCCTTTTATGGAGACAAATACTATGCTATTCATAAAAAGGCTTTTGGATTTTTCAATCGAAAAAGTAGCAAGCTTACTTAAAAGATTATAATTAGGTACTAGCCAATTTTCACAAATTTAAAGTTGTTTATAAAAAAATTATACCATGAATGATGGTTAATTACGTTTTTTGGGTTATCAGTCATACCGCATGTTGCTAATATTACCATAGGAAAACACCCGAGACGTCACAAAAATATATAGGTGCTCCTATCATTGGAGTAAACACTACACAGTTGTGTACTCACACATGGCGGCACGAAATACGATCGGAAATCCATTTGACGATATCTCAACGTTTCAAAACGAAGTGAAAAATATCATGCGCCACGCGGGCGCTTACATTTGTCACTCTATGCGCCATTTCTGGTCGATAAGCGCAATTGGCGCAAGGCGCACGTCCTTCCCGATCACTGTGTGTTGATAATTTCAGTCAATATATAAAAATATAATTCAAGCAAACTGTCAGTGTTTGGTGAAAACCAAGGTTTTAGATGGATTAAGTTCAAAACTGCGTTCTCACTAATTAGCGACGAAGAATTCTAGCAACAAGAAACGTCAAGAAGCGACAAGAAGTAAAATTTAGCGACAAGAAGACAAAAATTAGCAACAAGAAAGTTTATATCTTATTAAAACAAAATTTTATTTTTTTCCAGCATTTTAGAACACTTGCATGATTATCTTTATATTTTTTTACCCTTCTAAATAATAAACTTATAAATATAAAACTGCATTCAACATGCATTATTCAATGTTATTTGCATGTCATTGTGCAGATAATACAGACATATTTTTAAAAATGATATACAATGAAATAAAATTAATGAAGTCAAACAAAAGAAAAACAGTTACTGAACGTGAATAAATATATATAATTTTATTTTGTGTATTGCATCATTGAATATACATATATGATATTTATACATATTTTATTGATGATTGAAGATCATGAAGATTAAAGGTAATTAAAGACAATGTTGAGTTTTCTACAGGTGTTCACTATTTACAATGATTGTATATTCTGGCCCAGTTAATTGTATAGTCTGGAGTGTTAAGGTGTTAATGGAATGATCTATGGCAATTGAACTTAGTAGGGACATGTGTATCAGGAAAACCGTAAATAAATCATCAACATATTCTTGAAAATAAATAAAAACTAAACAATTCCTGTTTTTTTTAACAAATGTTTAATTTCTTCATCTATCATCTATCATGTCTATCGATTTAATGAAATAATGAAAATCACTTTATTAAATACACTATATTAAAAAAAAAATCATTTTAATGCATTTATTTATTTGAAACAATTACTTGTTAGATTTCTTGACGCTAAATTTGTTTTCTTGTCACTAAATGTGTCTTCTTGTCGCTTCTTAATGCTTCTTCATGTTCTTGTCTCTAATTAGAGAGACCCTAAGACTGACATTAAACATTTTTGTTAAAGAAACAAGTGACTATTTTATTATGTTTTTTTTTTTTAATTTTACAGGGATACAGGGGTGAATGTGCAATATATTAACTATCTATTGTCCCTTGTATAGTTTCATGAAAGATACAACATTATTTTATTTAAATAACCAATACATGTAATACTATTTTGCTCCATTGTGGAATCATAACCATGATAACCATGATAAAAGATTAGTGGACACATGATTATTTTATCATATCTAGGCATGGACATGATGGACAACCCCTTTTTACCATTGTTTACTATTTTCTCTGTTACAGATAATTTCATTTACATTTCTTTCTTATTTCAGTTACTTTCCTTTATTTACAAAATGTAGCATGATCTTGTTCATATTAACTAATAGTGGAACCAGTTTTGATGTGCTGCCCCTCTACTCTTATTTTCCAGTTCAATGGAAAATAGATATGGCTACTGCATCAAATTCCATTGTGTTTGAATATAAATGATTCAGTGGAAATTCAGTGTTAGGGGCAGCACTTACAAACTACTTCCACTATAAGATTGTATTGGTACGAGCAGGAATTTGTTCTATGATCAAGAAAATTAAGCCCAAATTATAAAGAAATTTGAATGAAAATGTCTAAAACACAGAAATGACAGAAGATAATGAAAGGGGGTCGGACATGCTTCAAATGCCTGGGATGTTACATTGCAATTTTACTGCTGAGTCAGCAGTTTTTGTCAGGTAGCATTTGGTTTTATATGCTTGAATGCTATTGGTGGACTTGGCTGTTGTCTGCTCTTTGGTCAGGTTGTTGTCTCTTTGACATATTCCCCATTTCCATTCTCAATTTTATATATTTTTAATATTCATGATATTGTAGTAAACAAATGAACAAATACGTGGCCTTAATTTTTTTTATTTTAATGAATTCAAGCATATGTATCAAGTAAGATTGCAATGATGATTTTAAAACATGGCAAGTCTACTGCACTTAAAGGGACATTAGCTGTTATACTCATCTTCACCGATTTGACTCAAATTCTCATATTTTATTTATAACATACTAAAATGCATATAAAAATTACAAAAGTCTGAAATAAACATTTAAAAAAAGCATGGACTCGATAATATGTTTCACATTTTCGTGTGTATTTTTGCCCTATGTCATCTAAATAACCATCGAGATGAACTCTGAAACTGCCGACGGTCATATAACACGATATAAACATAAATATAAACATAAACTGATAGCGACCACGAATACGGATTCAAAGAGGTCAAATTATTCACTTGCAAAAAGCAAATTAGTATTATTCAAATTATTCACTTGCTAAAAGCAAATTAGTATTTCACAATATCACTTTCATTAACATGATAAATGATTGAAAAAAAAAAATCATATTTTATTTTTTTGTATATCTCCTAGCTAATGCCCCTTTAAGCATATTTTACGCATACTCAATATTGCAGTCTGATGTTATATTTTGTTGCTACAAGCATGACATGCATAGCGGAAAGTAAAGATTACATTCTAATACATGCACTTCTTTACCTGATGATATTAAAGAGATGATAAAAACCAGTAACTCAGGTGACATCATTATACAACTTGGACCAAACCATGCATGACAATGTTTTTATTAGCATGATCCAACAAGATAAACTTCAAATGGCCAATTGACTCAATATATTGAAGAAATCTATCCTTAAATACTGTGGATTCATTTATTTTTAGCGGGTCCCAATTTTCTTGGATTGAGGAAAACTTGTATTTTCGTTGATATTTGATTTCATGGTTCTGCCAAAGTCTGCATACATTCTTATTGAAAATTTGTAATTCGTTGTACATTAAAATTTGTGGTTCCCGGGTAACCACGAAATCCATGAAAATTGGTATCCAACGAATAATAATGAATCCACAGTAGTACCTTATTATTCCTCTGTTGAATGTTGGGTAAACTTGTAACAATATCTTTATATACATGTAAACAATTCTAAATTGAAAACAACGTTCAAACCTATGATTGCGTTGGATAAAAACCGCAATTTTTATACGTGTGCATGCAAAACAAATTTCTTGGAAGAGGGGTATACATGTAATATATATACAACATGTACAATACCAAAATGAAAACTTCACAAATGTTTCATTAAATTGTAGCAGTCTATGTCCTTGTTCAAAAGACAATCAATTCTTGATATATTTCATGTAGTTAATATACATATGTATATACCATTATTTCTTGTGAAGCAAGAATCTTGATTGGTCACTCTGTTGGTGAATTACCCTGGTGTATATAATACACCACCCCAGCTTAGCTATTTACACCAGCAGATATAATTTTGCCAAAATTCCCCAAAATGTTTAAAAAAAATATACTAAAAAAACTCTAAATGTTGTCAAAATTCCCCCAAAACATTTTTATGGCTAATAATTAAAAAGTACAAGTCCACCAAAAATAAAAGTTGGACAAAATTCAAACAAAAATAAAATATTGTCCTGAATTCCCAAAAATAGTAAGTAACATTTGACAACACGCAGCAGCATTGGTGTTGACAAAATATGACTTAGAATTTCTTCATAAAAGAGGAACGAAAGATACCAGAGGGACAGTCAAACTCATAGATCGAAAACAAACTGACAAAGCCATGGCCAAAAATAAAACAGACAAATAATAGTACAGATGACACAACACAGAAAACTAAAGACTAACATAACAATTTTTCAATTTTACACCACAGTATAAAAATGAGTAAAGGGACTCTTCAAAAGAAATAAATTTGTTATCTTGGTGTAATTGTGTGTGCACAGAATTTAACAACAGAGTAAAATTCCATACACCCTTGATTACACCAAAATAACTAATAGTATATAAATATACAAAAGAGTTCTATTTCAAGCAATAGTACCTAATTTTTATATAAAAATTAAGGTGATTCAAGGGTACATGTAATTAGAACTTTATGTCAGAAAATTATAAATTTTTTATGCTTTTAAACTTGAAAATAGGAGGATAAAATTGGTGGAAAAACAAATAAGGGGGTCACTTTTCATCTAATTTAAAAAAAAAAATAGCTGTCAAAATAGCATAGTTGCTTTTAACATTAAGATAAAAGAGAAAAAAGAGGTGTTGACATATTCAAATCTTAAAAATAAAAATGTTAATGTAAGGTTTTGTTCAAAACTTCTGGATAAATAAGCTGAAGTACAGCTTAGTAGAATAAAAAGGCATAGGTCACTGACACAACTGACTGATGAGTTTGGAAAGATGTACTAGTATTGAATTTTGGTGGGAAAGGGGAGATAATTTGATTCTATATGGAATGAAATAAAAATGAAATAACTTATAATTCATCAGGAGCCACATATGAATTGTTTATACGTGTTATATACAAGGTTGGCAATACCTGTGAATTCTCATATACTAAATAAACCTAACAAGTTTCACCAATTTTTCACCTTTGATAACCAAAGATTTAATTGTTATCATCATTATTTATACCCTCTCAAAATATTGGAAATAAATGAAACACTTCATTGTTTACAGATGAAAAGCAAATGATCTAATACTTTTAATCGATCAACACATACAGTATTATACAGTTACTGTAAATCAGAAATTATTGTGATGTTTTAATGCAAAAATGTGACAATATCAGGTTAGCAATAATAAAAACTCTTTCATTATTTTAGTAGTGATATTTCTTCATAAAGTTCTTGCAATTGCATTAATGTGATTTCAACTAAATATGTACAAATATGAACAAAGGATGAAAATCCAACTCAAATTTAGAATTTGACCTGTTTAATTCAATTGGATGTTTTATTTTTAATTCAAAAAACTGCAAAATAAAAGCAAACTTTAACCTTCAGTGCTCGCAAGCACTTTGATTTTAACTATATATTGTAAATAGGTCAACATTATTTCTCCAATTATCTGAGAAAATATTACATGACTATTAAGACCTTTATAATTTATAATGTGGTATGAAAGATACATTGCTTTTTTATATTTTTTCAGTTTTTATGAAACTCCCAAAATGGCAGAAGATTTGATAAAGACATATAGCACATCAGCACATACATTAATAAGCTTTTCTTTTGGTAAGTACATAAATCACTTTTAATTCTGATTACTCCCAAGTATTTTGAAGTTGCACCATCATGACCATGGGATTTGAAAAAACACTGTTTCCCAAAACATTATAGCACCACATAAACTTTTAATTACAAATTCCCATAGTAAAAATGGTACCATTGTTCTATAAGTCCCTAAGGAAAACATTGTATTTTGACACTAAAAGTTTAGAGGAAGTTTTCAGAATTGTCATTAAAGTCAGCAGTGAAGGAATCTGTATTAAAGTTGATGATGTTGATACATTAATTAATGGGATACAGTTCTATGTTGTATTTACCCCAAGGGTTAACTTTGGGGTAGACATGTGGTCATCCCTTGGACTCTGTTTGGCTGTGCAGGATGTATAAAAAGGCAGTCACTTCTGGTCAGAATTAGGAAGTTCAATCTGATGCCTCTTGTAGAAAGAGTGCCATGATCTCTGCAAGTTGAAGAACCTTGGCTTTGCAATAACTCTCTAAGGAGTTGTTAGGTGCATGTTTGAAAAAAATCTTTTTTAATATACCGAAAAGAGAATGTTGTGTTTGATTAGGATATTTTGTGTATGATCATGATGAAATGTGTGTTTGATTAGGATATTTTGTGTATGATCATGATGAAATGTGTGTTTGATTAGGATATTTTGTGTATGATCATGACGAAATGTGTGTTTGATTAGGATATTTTGTGTATGATCATGATGATATGTGTGTTTGATACTGATATAATGATATGATAGTGGATAATACATATTTTCTGAATATTTTGTGTATGATATGTATGTGTGTTTCGTACTGGTACAATTATATGATAGAGAATGTTGTGTGTTTTCAGAATGTTTTGTGTTCGATATGTGTGTGTGAGACTGATATGTAATAGAGAACATTGTATATTTTCAGGATATTTTGTGTATGATATGTGGGATATGATGATATATCAAAGAAACAGACATTCCTTTGAATTAATGGGCCATCATGTTGTGGTAAGTCCTTTGATTTAATGGGCCAACAATGTACAAGTTGTGGTAAATCCTTTGAATTAAGGGGCCATCATGTTGTGGTTACAAGTCCTTTGAATTAATGGGCCATCATTTTGTGGTACGTCCTTTGAATTAATGAGCCATCATGTTGTGCTAAGTCCTTTAAATTAATGGGCCACCATGTTGTGGTAAGTCCTTTGAATTAATGGGCAACAATGTACATGTTGTGGTACGTCCTTTGAATTAATGGGCCATCATGTTGTGGTAAGTCCTTTAAATTAATGGACCAACATATTGTGGTTAGTCCTTTTAATCAATGGGCCATCATGTTGTGGTAAATCCTTTGAAAAAATGGACCATCATATTGTGGTTAGTCCTTTTAATCAATGGGCCATCATGTTGTGGTAAGTCCTTATTTTTATCAATTTAGCCTATTATTTTAAAACTTGTATAAGGTGGAGAGAAATTTTTTATAGCAAAAATGATCAACTAGACATGATCTACAAATAATTATAAATAAGAAGATGTGGTATTAGTGCCAATGAGACAACTATCCATCCAAGTCACAATGTGTAAAAAGTAAACAATTATAGGTCAAAGTATGGCCTTCAACACATAGCCTTGGCTCACACCGAACAGCAAGCTATAAAGAGCCCCAAAAAGACTAGTGTAAAACGATTCAAACAGGAAAACCAATGGTCTAATCTATATAAAAAACGAGAAATGAAAAACACTTATGAACCACACCAACAAATGACAACCACTGAACAACAGGCTCGTGACTTAGCGGCGGGTTTAAACGCTTTAACAGACGTCAACCTTCACCCTAACCTGAAACAGTGATATAACATTACAACAATATTATTGGAGCTCATTTTGCTCTTTAATTTTAATTTTTACCAATTATTTTGCGTTCTTGTCTATTTGTCTGGAAAACTCTAAAAGATAGATAGAAAATTAAAATTGCAAAAATGATCAGCAAGACAATATCTGCAAATAAACCAAATTTTTGCTGAAATTGTTAGTTGACTCTTTATAGGAATAATTGCCTTAAATGACAATTTTTTGGGGTTCTCTTTTGGGCAAAAACTAAAGAAGATAGAGAGAAACTGTCAACAGAAAATCATCAGCAATACAAGATGAACAAAAAAGTGATTTTTGTCATGAATAATATTCTAGTCTATCATGTTTGAGAGTGTTAGAAGTTAAAGATGTGCAACATAGGCTCTCAAGTGCCTTCTGTTTCCAGTCCTCAAGTGCCTTCTGTTTACAGTCCTCAAGTGCCTTCTGTTTACAGTCCTCGTGCCTTCTGTTTTCAGCCCTCAAGTGCCTTCTGTTTATAGTCCTCAAGTGCCTTCTGTTTCCAGTCCTCAAGTGCCTTCTGTTTCCAGTCCTCAAGTGCCTTCTGTTTCCAGTCCTCAAGTGCCTTCTGTTTACAGTCCTCAAGTGCCTTCTGTTTACAGCCCTCAAGTGCCTTCTGTTTACAGTCCTCAAATGCCTTCTGTTTACAGTCCTCAAGTGCCTTCTGTTTACAGTCCTCAAGTGCCTTCTGTTTACAGTCCTCAAGTGCCTTCTGTTTACAGCCCTCAAGTGCCTTCTGTTTTCAGCCCTCAAGTGCCTTCTGTTTATAGTCCTCAAGTGCCTTCTGTTTCCAGTCCTCAAGTGCGTTCTGTTTCCAGTCCTCAAGTGCCTTCTGTTTCCAGTCCTCAAGTGCCTTCTGTTTACAGTCCTCAAGTGCCTTCTGTTTTCAGCCCTCAAGTGCCTTCTGTTTACAGTCCTCAAGTGCCTTCTGTTTACAGTCCTCGTGCCTTCTGTTTACAGTCCTCGTGCCTTCTGTTTACAGTCCTCAAGTGCCTTCTGTTTACAGTCCTCAAGTGCCTTCTGTTTACAGTCCTCAAGTGCCTTCTGTTTACAGTCCTCAAGTGCCTTCTGTTTACAGTCCTCGTGCCTTCTGTTTACAGTCCTCAAGTGCCTTCTGTTTACAGTCCTCAAGTGCCTTCTGTTTACAGTCCTCAAGTGCCTTCTGTTTACAGTCCTCAAGTGCCTTCTGTTAACAGTCCTCAAGTGCCTTCTGTTTACAGTCCTCAAGTGCCTTCTGTTTGCAGTCCTCAAGTGCCTTCTGTTTCTAGTCCTCAAGTGTCTTCTGTTTCCAGTCCTTAAGATTGCTTTATTTAATAGAGCAATTATTTGAAGGATCTTTTCATGCTTGAAGCAACACAGGATTATAATACAATTGAAACCCTTGCTCACATAAGTATCTCCTTTAGCATTAACATTCTTTTAATCAGAGTATTTCAATTTCTCTCAAATTAAGAAACCAACAGTTACTTCAATAAACATGAATCTAAACTTTATTTAAATATGACTATGCTAATTTAATGGCCAAGTGTTAAGCAAATTAGTTACAAGTATTTTGATTGTAATAAAAGTTATTAAGAAACAAGGTTAAAGAATAGTAAAGAATTCATGTACAGTATTGTTAACATCTATTTTTTCATGAATCTGAGATAAAATTTTCAAAGGAAATAATTAATTATTTGGAAAACTTGTCAGGATTAATATTAAAAAAATTAAGCCTTTTGTGACAGCAAGAACTTATTTAAAAACAATATTACAAATATATTCAAATTTTATGTTTTTTGATTAACATAATAAATAAGAAATACTTTCTTCGTAAACATTTAGAAAGTTAATTTAGATTTTTTGAAAAGTCATCTTTAGAAGGTCAATAATTGAAATGATAATCAATTAAGCAACTGCAGGGTTATTGCCCTGTTGTGGTCATGCAGGAAATCTTTGTCATATGACGCTGATTTCATCATTTAACTAATTGTGCTTTGAATCACTAAGTTGATGAGAAATAAAGAAATGAAATATCTCTTAACTAAATAACAAATACTGTATTTTTGATTGACATATTTTTATATAAACCATATTATTTCTTTTGTTAGATCATTTTTTCATATCTTTATTATTACAAATATTTAGATAAAGACTTTATGCCAGGTACAATTTGTATTAAATATCAGATGGAAAAAGTATATGGCTGTAATCTAACATTGGTATTGATTTTTACCTTTTGACATTAGATGAAAAGACTTTTCATTAGCAACCTTTTATCTAAATCTCTTATTTTCTGCTGTTAATATAATGAACTTAGCTTTCAGGTTATATATACTTGATATAAGGAAACCTGCCTACCTGGAATTTAGGTTCATTAAGGAAACACTAAACAAGGTGTAAAAATGGTGGTTTCTTAATTTTGAATATAAGGAAAGGAAATGTGATAAGGTTGCCAAAGAGACAAATATCCACCGTAAGACCAAATGAATAGGATGCAATTAACTACAGGCAGTTCTGCCAACTTTTAATAATGCAAATGCGTGAGATTTGGCCAAAATCGTAAAGATCAAAGAGAAAAAACAATAGATCAAAGGAAAATGCCGCCAAATAAGCATGAAAATGCGTGAGTCTTACGCTAAATGCTTGAGACTTGGCAGCCCTGTACAGGTCACTACACCGCCTAAAACAATGAGCAAAAGCAAAACCTTATAGAAAATTGTAAATATATATTTGTAAAAATACAAGCTATATATATTGAAGCCTGTATTTTAATACATGTATTCACACTTGTATGTTGGTACTTCTAAATAAAACAGTACTGTACTATGAATAAATTTGATAAATTTTGCAATTATGATTGTTTTTAATTTCAAATTGATGTATGCATGAGATAGTTCAATATATTGAGATATGCCATTAGATAATTTTATTTATTTAAAAGTTTTCATATCTTTATGGATAATCTATGAACTCTTGACGTTAAGTCAAGTTTATGAATGTGCCCGTTCTGTTTATTATGTAAAAAGTACTTTTAATGTCAGTACATACTGATATTATTCAACCAGTGTTAGTTAAAAAAATCTACTCAATCTCTTTTCTGATGTAAAACTTTGATGTTAGACTTTCAAAAGGGGATTTTTTTCACACCTTTAACTTCTATCAAAAATTAAGTACCAGTAGTATTCTAATACTTCTGGGACCATGTATCAGAAACTCTGCTCTAAAATAGAATTATGTTACAGTGTTACTTTCCTATAAAGTAAAATTTATTAAAAGTTGTGTAGTAAATATTTTGAAGATCTTTAAAGGATGCATATTAAGGTGGGGTTGTTATTGAATGTAAACATTTAACAGTTGTAAAGATATGAAGCATTAAGATTTAACAACCAACAACTGAAGTTCTCTCAAAATAACTTGATTACATAATTAACATATATTCAAATAAACATCCTTTTGCAGCAAAAAATTACCTTCATTCACTCAGAGATCAAACAATGTTAAATTTACATATTAATGAAGTAAAATAAAAAAAAAGAATTGATGCATACTGAACACTTAAAACATTTAAAATCCTATGTAATGCACACTTAAACAAATTGCGTAATCTTCTGGTGTGTTTATTATGACACTTCATCTTAGGCGCCAATTAAACCAAAATTTGAATACAACCGAAATATCCATATTTATAGTTTATTTTTAAAAGTTTATGAATAAAAGGAGAAGTAAATTTTCATCAATTGATTATGATATAAGAATTAGAAGTCTACCATCTAAATTGGCCTCCTCAAACATTGGCTTTAAGAAAAGGGATACTACAGTATTATTGTGCTTTGTTGGTCTTCTCAAACATATCCTTTAGTATCAAGAAAGGGATATAGATATCATACTTTACAACTGTGACAACAGTACTAGTATTCTTTGTTGGTCTTCTCAAACATATCCTATAGCATCAAGAAAGGGATATAGATATCATACTTTACAACTGTCACAACAGTACTAGTATGCTTTGTTGGTCTTCTCAAACATATCCTATAGCATCAAGAAAGGGATATAGATATCATACTTTACAACTGTGACAACAGTACTAGTATTCTTTGTTGGTCTTCTCAAACATATCCTATAGCATCAAGAAAGGGATATAGATATCATACTTTACAACTGTGACAACAGTACTAGTATTCTTTGTTGGTCTTCTCAAACATATCCTATAGCATCAAGAAAGGGATATAGATATCATACTTTACAACTGTGACAACAGTACTAGTATTCTTTGTTGGTCTTCTCAAACATATCCTATAGCATCAAGAAAGGGATATAAATATCATACTTTACAACTGTGACAACAGTACTAGTATTCTTTGTTGGTCTTCTCAAACATATCCTTTAGTATCAAGAAAGGGATATAGATATCATACTTTACAACTGTGACAACAGTACTAGTATGCTTTGTTGGTCTTCTCAAACATATCCTTTAGCATCAAGAAAGGGATACAGATATCATACTTTACAACTGTCACAACAGTACTAGTATGTTTTGTTGGTCTTCTCAAACATATCCTTTAGTATCAAGAAAGGGATATAGATATCATACTTTACAACTGTGACAACAGTACTAGTATGCTTTGTTGGTCTTCTCAAACATATCCTTTAGTATCAAGAAAGGGATATAGATATCATACTTTACAACTGTCACAACAGTACTAGTATGCTTTACTGGTCTTCTCAAACATATCCTTTAGTATCAAGAAAGGGATACAGATATCATACTTTACAACTGTCACAACAGCATTAGTATGCTTTGTTAGACAAAGACAATTTATATAACTACTTTAATATGAAAATTTTCATTTTCTAACTTTCATGCAAAAAACAAATCAAATTTTAAATAGCTAATTTTGTTTGAACTTGTATGGAGTTTGTTAATAATTAGCCATGCATAATAATATATATCTTGAAAAGTATTTTAGTCTCTACTGTCTATATGCTGGACAATTAAACCATAATAAAATGTATTCATTCTCATAACATTGCATTGTATAACATTTACAAATTCTATCGTCTCTTCATTGATATTGTGAATGTTAGACCACTTTGATTAAAAATCTAACAGGATTTTTTTTAAAAGGACAGTATCCAGCTGGGCTCAACTGGGCTACATCTACCTTTTTAGATTTTTAACGACATCTGTTGATTTATGTTAGTGTGTTTGCCTTTGGTGCAGGGAATTTCAGGGTTATGAGCAAAGTCTGATTGTTGTAAGGTAATTATGACATGTTTCCTTGCATTAACATAAACTCATTATGTTAGTCTTGTTAACAAAAAATGAAAGAAACACTTATAAATTTGGTGCATTTGTTATAAATCATGTCAATACCAATTCACTGACTACTGACATGACTGAGCTGATGATGATACTCTCTGGGACTAGCTGGGCACTAGGCTGATGATAGCAGTCCACCTGTAGTGGTATGGATACAGTGCTAGAAAATAAAATGATACTAGAAATAGGGGCGATATTGGAAACTTATTAAACAAATTCTATTTGCTGTGCAAAGTGCTTTTCTGGATTTACCTTCATCTGAAACTCTCAAACCCAAAAAATTTGAAAGTCAGGGAGGTTAACAACTTGAATACTTGAGGAGGAATATGACCAAAAGGGAGGTAAAATGAATAGCCAAATCCTCCTACAGTCAACTTTGGCCAGTGGGTTAGAACCATAGGTCCCTAATTATTTACAAAGAAGAATTTTAGAAGAGTTTGTTATTAATCATGTCAGAGCAAAGTATTTTTTTTCACATAACATAATATGGTCATGCATGTTATATTTGTCTCTAGATGTAAAGCCCCTCACTAATTAGCTACGAATAATTCCAGACTTGTTCATCATTAAGTCCATCATTCAGTGGCTTTTTTGTATGTTATAACAAAAAATCTATTCTGTTTGGAAATTCTACATGAGTGGAGTGAACATAATGACTGATCATTACTAGGGGATTTGGGAGCATTTGTATTGTTAATGCTTATATTAATTAACATCCGTATTTTATAGAATACCAGTAGATATGAATTGATTTTTCATTATGCTTACCAGGCATCACTACATGTACCAAGAACTAACATTGCAAGCTTTTTAATTAACTTGTATGAATTCCATATCAAATTTTATATATATATCATGTTACTTGGTGTTTGGTATATCTATATAAGTCTGATGGTTGAATATTAAAATCAGTTTTCTTGTTGTCATAGTTTACTTACCAAAATTCTCCTCAACTGACCTCAAGTGCTGGAGTTCATGGGTTGATTCCTGTCCAAATCAAATTTTCAATTGACAATTTTGACTCAGTGATTGACAGCTTGACATATTGTATGGACATTTGTCTTTTGTTGAACATGTAGAAGACTAAATTGACCTCTAGATGTCTTTTGGTGTCTTTATATCATTGGGTTGCTGTCTCATTAGCAAGTACCCCACATCAACTTTGTTCATATTTGTTTTTTAATGTAAAATAAAACTTTCTTTATTCTAATTAAAACTAATTTGATTCAATATTTTATTTTTCAGATATTTATTTGCTTTGGTATTGCCATAGTAACAAAGTTGTATATTGGATATGCAGTTGTTGCCTTAGTGATAGAAATAAACAGCATCTTCTTACATATTAGACAGTTGTTACAAATCTGTAGATATTCCAAAAATAATAGTGCTTATAGACTGAACAGTCTTATTAATTTAGGTAAGTACAACTATCACACTGTCATTATATTTAACAGTGGATCTAGGTTTTCCCTAAAAAGGGGGAGACCCTCAAGGGCACCAAAAATGTTTTTCTCAAAAGGGGGGCCTGGTTGTCAATAATCAGAAAAATGCAGAAAAAAATACAATTTTTTCAGCCATGGGGAGGGGTTTGGGGGCTGTTCTTGATATGTATTTTAAGTCATTAGATCATGATGTCTAAAATTAAGCCATCATCAAGTTGATCACTTAGATTTTAACAAATGACCGAAGCAGTGCATCATTTAGATAAGGCTTTTGAGTTATTCACTAATGACTCTAGGATGAAATTAGGAAAGTTACTTTATAAAAAAAAAAACAGTCCATAAATATTAACAATTTTATTTGTTATGAATGTTTATATGGAACTTGTGTGTTATTTAGATACAAATCAAGTCATAACATAATGCTCTAGTTAGTATACTGTATGCAGCCAGGGGCGTTTCCAGGATATTTGAAAGAGGGGGCGTAGAATGAAATCTTTCGCCGAGCGGAGTGAGATAAACATTTTTTTAGACCTTTTTTTTAAACATAAAATAATTATGAAATGCACTAATTGCCATATTCAATACAATATTAGCCCGTTACGCCCTCACCTGGGCCTGCCCCTGTATACAGCTGACTATATATACACCAGATTTTTTAAAAGTAGAATTATACAAAACATCACTTTTTAAAATGACTGGTTCTGCATGTTATCAGACATGTCACTAATAGGATCAAATACACCATAAGCTGACTTCCTCACTAATTCATGTAATTATTACAAGCTTGATATCCTGTTTGTTACAAATATATTGCTTGTGTTACAATTACAAGCATAATCCATAATGGTTCAAAATTCATTACTATGCATTACTTGCATTCTAATAAAAAATGTAGAATTCAAGTTTAACTACAATGAATATAATATAAATATCATTGAGGCTTATTCTCAACAAAACATTTATAAAATTTTCTTTTCAACATATTAAACCTTTATACAAACATTTCAATATAGTTTGTTAATATCATGGTCATCAGAAAACAATCGACAGATCATACATTGTGTCATATGCTCCAAGTGTTTGTAATTTTCCACAAAATTAAGTGCATTTTCACTTCAATAAAACCGAAGTTTTGTTTTAAGTGTTAACATTAAGTCCGTCATTAAAAAGGTCACATGGGTTAATGACCTGAACTACTTAAGATTAATAAGATAAGTAAACATTGTTATTTCCGATTTATGATAAAAAATGATGACAAGTCTCCACTACCAGTTCCCCATACAAACTGAATATCAACAATGAAAATTCCAGTTTAGTAAAGATTTAAATTTATGTCCATTTCACAAAAAAACATGTTAAAATCACTTATATATTTCACCTTTTGAATGTTCTTGTAAATAGTATAACACTGTTCAGCACAGTTTGGGTCACATCATCAACAATTCAAACTGGAGTCACTCTTGAATGTATGATAATTTCTCAGAAACCTTTAGTAATGTATCAGGGATATTTACATCCATATTTTCTTGAATTGTACCACACTGTTTAACAATATTTTGATCACAGTGAATAAGATTTCAAACATAAAATCCTATATGTCCATTTATCTATAGTAGGTAGTATATCATTGGTCTTTCACCACCTCACATTTTAGTAGTGTATACAATACAATAACCTTTTAGACTCTCTGACCTACATTTCATGCTTGAGTGTCTGGTTAAGTTTGTCATTAGTATAAAAGCAGGGAGACCATTGGCAGATTCAGGGGGTGTAGAGGGTATAATAATTTTACCATTATTGAACCCTGGATCCACCACTGGAGATGATGTATGATTGCCAATGAGAAAACTAGGCTTTATGGAAAGTGTTTTTTTTTTATGTTTGATGATCATGCAATATTTTTATATAACTGTCATTAATGAGTCTCTGTTATTGCAGGAACATTTGTTGTGTGTCGTATATCTGTGATGGCATGGATGAGTAGATGGTTGCTAATCAACAAAGATCTCGTCCCATTGATATTTTATTCCATCGGCAGTGTAGGATTAGCCATTATGACAGTTATGAATATTATTTTATTCTACAGACTTTTACAGAGTGACTTTATAAAGAAAAATGAATCAAAAAAAGAAAATTCCCATTAACAAAGTTCAGGCAGCAGACATTTTTCCATGTTGTATACCTCATTTAAAAAAAGGTCCCTATGTGATCAAAATATTGGGGATTGTAATGTATGGTTATTGTTCAGAACTGTATTGTAATATATGTATACTGTGATTTATTGTTTTGATATACTTATGAGGATCTGGATGGGGGGTACATCATTTCTGTATTCTTTAATTTCTTGTCCCATATTCTCTATTTTTTATATTTAACCACCCCATTATTCTCTATTCTTTATTTTTGTGGTCTATTTTCTCTATTCTGTATAATTTTCAACCATTTTTCTGTAGTACTGACCAATTATTCTATATTCTGTAAACCACATCCAGACCCTTACTTAATGTACAAATAATTTGAAAAAAAGTGGAATTTTATATAGAATGCTAGCTTTCTTTATTATTTCAAATATCAAAACTATCTTGTAGTTCATCTTATTTTTTAGGTCATACCAAGTTTATTGTAGTAAATTTTTCTACTTTGTATTAATCTTGATTTAGATATTTCAGTATTATTCAAATTATTTCATATTTTTTTATGCATTTATGTCGGGTTTTAAATGAAAACAGTCTATCAAGTATGTGTCAATTATTAAAAGCCGCATAAGAAAGGCACTATCTCTCTGCAGATACATTTTTTTTTCAGTTTCATGTTTTGTTAATTCTTGCTTAATTTTTCTTTCATTTATTGGAAATCAATTGCAGCTGATGAAGAAAATTTTATTTTATGTTGGCATTAGTTTATTCCTCTAAAAAGTGCAAATCAAAAGTCAGTTTTCATTAAATGTGTCGTAAAGAAATACATCTTAGAATGAGGAGACAACTTTTCCGTTAAGTTCTTTTATTCTTTCTTTGAAATAGAATTTTTTTTACACAAAATATTTAAAATCTTTCACTTTTGGGTTAAAAAAAGATGGCAGCCTTTTATTGATTATCTTTAAATCTCCAATTTAACAGGATCTAAATCCCTTGATGTGAAAAACATTGTGTCAAAATTTTGACTTTGTAATTTTTAAACTTCTAAACATAGCCATTTCAATTGTTTATTTCAAATTAATTAACACTGTGATATAGTTCCTTGTTGTACAGTTTATTGTTTAAATTTCCTTTAATTAGTCAAGCTACTTCTAGTTTATATTTTAACATGTTACCAAAAAAATTATCAATCATTAAGGATGTTCATCACTCTGTTTCTAGATAACAAGCTTTTTAAAAGACTGTTATTAATTGATAGTATTATAAATAATGGAACTTAAAAAGTACAAAATAATGACAGGTCAGTGTCCTTGTTTATGAGATATTATCAATTGAAAATTTGGCGGGAAATTTCTCTCTCTAGATTTTCCATACATTTAACATTAGCACCTTTTTCTTTCAAAAACTATGAAAAAATAACAAGGATTTTATAAGATTTTCAAAAATGGCTATTTATACTACATGTATATGTAATAAAATTATGAAAAGAAAAGTAGGGGTTAGAGGGCAAAACTTTTATTATTGCAGTACCAAGATTAGCGAACATCCTTAAGTCTTATTGTTATATTTTATTGATGTAAGGGATCAAGGAAATCCAATATATATACTTATAGTATTTGTGATTATAGTAAATTAAATGGTGTGAAAAATGGCAAATATAACTACCTCATGATTATTGTTATTGTAGTCAAATGTTTAATTTTTATGTGATTCTATTATTAACTATGTGTATTTAATTATTTTTTTTGAACAAGTACAAAAGAACTTATTATATATAAAGCATATATTATTACTAATGGGGATACTTACAATGCTTGCTGGTAATTCTGTTTGTCTTCTAAGTCCGTTCATTTGACGTTAGTGTCAAAAAAGTGCATGGACTAACAGGACAAATAAAATTTCATGACTTGACTGTAAATATTGCTTGATGTGTTACAAATTAGACAATGCTAGATGTTAGGTTTCTTACCAGGTGTTGAACTTTCTTATAGTGTATATTTAGGAAGAACTTATTTTGCAGTTCATATTTGGTATGCTATTGCAATAGACCTTATTGCTATTTGGGAATCTGTGACACTTGACCCGAGAATCTGTGACACTTGAGAACTATTGACATCATACAACAATCACTTTTCCTTTGTGGCGTCAGACATTTTCTATTGAGACACCATAATTTTACGGGAACCTTTGTGATGTCCAGTAATGGCGGACAAATAGAGAGAAGATGTATGTATTGCAAGCATCTTAAAGCAATCTTAAATAATTTCTTACTAGTTATTGATATACCCGGCCCCTGCACATGCCAGTCACTACATCAAACTGGTAATCAAGCTCGATTATAAAGCTGGAAATGTTTGTAAAATAAAGTAACACATTGTTTTCTATTTACTTCTCACCAATGCTTTGCACTGCAGCGAACCAGTATTTATAACAGGGGTGGATTCAGGCGGGGACGTGGCGGGCGTGTCCCCCCTAAAATTTGCAAAGCATGGGTTGTCCTCAGCTTAATAAAGAATATTTCGATAATTTTACCTAAAAAAATTTTAAGTTTGCGCCACCCCCTCCCCCCATAACCTAAATTCCTGGATTCGCCCTGAGTAAAATTCCTAACAAGGGAAATAATTTTTATTCAATTGTAATTTCAACATGTTCAAACTTAGATTCAGGCTTTCGGAAGAGAGTTTCAAGAAAGTCCTATGCTTTAGTTCATGGTGATAGAAAGAGTCCACCCACTTACATCCATGCAGTTATGCCTCTTGTTTATATTGCTATGCAGAGGTCAGATAAAAGAAACCTCATTCTTCAAGCCTCTTGTTTATTTTGTCATATCTTGGATTCTCCTTGTATGCATTTAGTTGATCAGAGGAATATTGCAGCTTGTTATTTTTTGGGTATTCTTTTTTAAGCTCATTTGGTGCATATTGGCCAATGAGGACTTTTGTATATACCTTTTGATATTTTGATATTTTAATCTTTTCATTCAGAAATGATAATATCTATATTTGTATATTGCCAAAACATTCATTCTAGAAAGAAACAAATGTCATTAGATTAAGGGAAAATTCTTAAAAAAATATTTGTAAAACTCAACATTATATTTTGAATCCATTAGATACTCAGGTGGCTAGATGATATTATAGTGCTTTTCATATTGAAAAAACATAGTTGATTTATAAATTTCAAATTGTAACTAGAATTAATGTATGTGTTCATATTAACCAATAACTATAGAAACATAGGTAGCCCATGAATTATATTATTGTACAAGTAATAAATGTGTACTCATATATTTAATATCCAAGGTTTGTGATCCATATACCTGTATATTTTTCACACTTTGCTTATTGTAAATTAAGTTTTGTGTACCTCCGAAAAAAATCATATGTTATTTGTTGCAGCTACTTAAAGGTTCAGCCAATGAGATTGTGTTTCATGTTTTACCCATGCATCTGCAAGTTTGATATTTTTTTATGTCAATAATTTTTGGAAGTGTTCCATTTAAATTTTTCTGCCAAAAATGTCAATTTTGGACACGGTCAAATTTTCAGGTCAGTCAATCTGTGTTATATAAAATGGCCAAAATACATTGTGATAGAACTGTCTATCTGATAGATGATCGTCTATTTAACAGATAAATCAGTTCAATAAAGGATTAAACACATGTTTTATATCAATTATTAATGTGTTAATTAGATCAATTAACTAAAGAACTGAATAAAAAAGGACTTTTATTTTAAGTTTGTAAGTGAACAAACCAGGTTACTCATCGATAACCTCTAGAAAGATGTTTTTACAGTAATCCTTATAAATCTGAACGTTTGTTATTTTCTGCTTTCAACTTTCTTGGAACCTAAGGTTTTCATTCATATGTATTGTGTTATAATGAATACAACACAGTCAACATAGTGTTTACATAGGTAACAAAAGTAGTTTGGTAAAAATACCAATGGACTAATCACATTGAAGTATTTATCGATATGCAAGTCATATAAAAGTTAGTGGTTCATAAAGCAATTCAAGGGATTTAACTTTTTTTTTCAAATATGCTAGAAGACCTCAAAAAATAAAATTTATTAAAGGTGAAAATTACTTTTATAGATCCAAATTGATAATTTAGAAATGATCACGATTTTTTTCTTTTAAATAAGCCAAAAATTACCATTCCCTCATGTAGAACATGCTGGTTCAACTTAACGAAAATTTCTAGGTTTGTAGAGTACATTATATTATCTAATTATAGCTTTAATATAATGATTGTCTTGATGTTTATTTAAGGAATGACTGTAATATTTTATTCTGTCTATTAAGAAATAACATCAAAAATGTGGTGCACACTGAATACGCGGGTTATTTTAAAGTGTGCACCACATTTTTTATGTTATTTCGAATAGACAGAAAAAATATTACAGTCATTTCTTATAATTTAATTCTAAATTCCATTTTAAACCGGAGTAAACCATGAAAAAACGTTGATGACGTCACGGTCACATGACAAAATTATGTCTATGAGCTGATAAACAAAACAACGTCAGCCAATCAGAAGACGCGTTACATCCAAAATTAAATTATACGTTCATAAATGTGTAGAATAAATTTTTTATTTGATTATAAAAATAAAATGAACAAAAGCTTATGCTATATGTAACATTACATTATGTGCTTTTATAATCTACATATGTTTATTTATAGTTAATTATTTTCATCATTTGTTGATTACTTTATGGTTTAACATAGAAGACAGTTATAGGTTCGGCTAGTATTTGAATTCTGAAGAGCAGAGAAATTTATACTGATAATTGAAATAAATAAATATTTTTTATTGAAACATATCTTTGTTTAGATTTTTTCTTTCACACACATTGCTGAATAACTTAGTCCTAAAAGATCTTTTTATAGGTTAAACAAAATTATAACAAGGTCTGCAAATAAATACCAGGGTTTTACAGTCAAATAAAAACTAATGAGTAAGAAATCCAGTTAATTCACTCTTTTGACGTCATACAACAATAGATGTTGTCAAGACATTGTTATTGACGTTGTATCACAATGAAGTGAGAACACGTAGAAACAAGTATATACAGTGGATTCATTATTATTCGTTGGGTACCAATTTTTGTGGATTTCGTGGGTTCAGGTGAACCACAAATTTAAATGTTCAACGAATTACAAATTTCTATCAGGTTGTATGCAGACTTTGGCAAAACCACGAAATCACATATCCACGAAAAGACAAGTTTTCCGCAATCCACAACAATTGGTATCCACGAAAATAAATGAATTCACATTAGTGGATTACATCTACCTCTTTATTTAAATAAAAAATCACTAAATTAATCTAAGAATTCAAATTAAAAAATATTCAACTCATGACCAAAAAACAGTGATAATTAATTCATGCACAATGTACATTCATGATTTGATGTGTAGTTCAGTCCCACGTTGAATATTTTACGATATTTGAAATCTTGGATTAGTCATTCTATTTAAGACTAAATAGTTTATATTATAACTTGCCATGGGTTTTTTAATGTCTTACCAAAATATATTTTTGTTTTGATGCCAAAATATTGCCATTTTAGACGAATTCAGATTGAAAATACAAGATCCAAATATAATATAATATTTCTTAAATTCTTGTGATATGATATCTGTATCTTGGAAAAAACATATCTCAAAACACTATTTATAAAACTTAATAACATTTGAGAAATAATAAATTAATCAATTAGAAGAAATTCTGTGTATACAAAATTTTCATTCTGTAAATATACTAGTAGATGAATAGTTGGTCAATCAATCAATCAAAAGCATTACAGTACCCGGTAAGTAAATTTTTATTTTTGTGACGTGTAATAACAGTTTAACAAAATACAAATATATTACAAAAACAATAAAATACACCCGACCCATTGGGTCTAAAAGTCACTTTCAAAATCATAAAACGTATTTCCTTTATCACGGATTTTCAAACAAAGTAATGACAAGTATTAAAGAAGAATGGCTAGTAAATCCTTTTTTAAAAATTTCTAATTGTCTTTTTAATTTTTTTTATCAACGTGCACAGAACATATGATTAAATTATAAGTTGTAACTTTTGTAATACTGCTGAATATTTAAGTTGTCAGAACAGTTTAACATTGTATTGGAGAATAATGTTGTTTTTCTTTTTGAAAATTAATTTGGCGGGCACACAATATATTTTTGATTATTGAAAAAAAGTATTTACAAAAATACTGAACTCCAAGGTAAATTAAAAAGGGTGAAGTCCATAAAAACTGACAAAATCAAACGTTAGACTTTAATAACCAACGTAACGAATGGATAAGTGGGTTCTTTAGGTTGCAATATTTAGATGTAAATTTGATCTAAATAGTATTGTAACATAAATCCTTATTAAAATGTTATGTTTTAACAGTACTCAGGTTAGTCAACACTATCATTTGCACTGAAGAATACTAATATATATATATACTTGTTAAACTTGCCTTGAATTTATTGTTAAGCTGTGTTTTGTACCTCAAATTTGTAATTTTTTCTATGTTTAACATTATTGTTCTATTGCCTCAAATTTGTAATTTTTTGGATAATTTTCTTTTTGTTTAATATTATAGTTATAAATATAAGTTTTACATCTGCAGTTGACTAGACATAAATGTAACATTTTATTTGCAAATAAGAAATAGGAGACGTAGGTTTTTTCATTGTTCAATAAAAGGTGCTAGTTTTTTTATTGAAATGTATTTAAATTCATATACTTTCATTGCTTAAGTTATATAACAAAAAGGACTAGAAGAGTTACATGGCAACTGTATCCTATGGTAAATTGATATGTCAAAAACTTCTCAGTACAATTCAAAACTTAAAAAAAAAAAACTTAAAAAAAAATAATCACATTATTTTAACCAACAAATTGTCTGTAATGTAGTTAAAGATTACTCAATATAAGCTCCATTAAAATCTGTCAAGTTCTATTTTAATGTATCAAGTAAAGTAATTTTTAGTTATTCTTGTCTATTTATCTTAACAATTTGCAACAAAAATTATAATGGTAGCCATTAACCAGAATAATTCAATGAAGATTACCCCACATTTTCATTTATCAATGTGTATGTTCTACATATATCATTATTGAATACTATATGATCGTCCTTTTGAAATATATACTTGTTATTCAAGTCTCACATGGTGATTAGTACTATTAACATTCAATTTCAGATTATCAACTAAAATAATGTTGTTTTTTTCTAATTTGAATGGTTGTGGCTTATTTATACCATACATTCATAACTAAAAATGGCTGTAAACTTTTTTTAAAAATTGTGCATATAAAAATGTTATTTTACCCATTGGCTAATTCTACAACAAAATTGATTATTATTTTTTGTATATTTGCTAAGGTGATGTTAAGAAACAATCAATCAATCATTATTTGTTGTAATTTTGTCAGTGCCTTCAGTTGTTTTGCTA